TTTCGACAACTAACCTCTCGAATGACAATATCGCTCATGGTCGTGCAGGTTCAGAGTGACGTGAGTCGTGACGGACTCGGATTTCAAATTTCAGGAGCAGGCACGACTCAATGACATCAGCTACAAATAATTTATGTAATGTCTTGTCAATCACATGATGCTGCGAGGCGCAGAAGTCAAAGATCCCCATGAAATAAAATACTGTATATTCTCTAGTGAAGCGTCCAGCTACAACGCACATGTCAATTAAATAAACAGTCCATCCAGTGGCAAAGCTGAGCGCTGAATCACAGCCAAAGCCAAAAAAATTCTATCTATTTTAGTAGCATCGTCATAGCTGATCATCGTTCGACGCTTTTTTAAGAGTGTCTTGCCAGTCCAATGCCAACTTAGTAAGAGTCTTGCTCCGAGCTGTACAGAAGTTCAGTAATGTAAGAGATAGTCGAGACAGAACGACTGACCAAAGACCGATAATACTTCGCGCAAAAGATCGCGCTTGGCCATGCCTGCCACGACAGGGGTCCAAGAGTCGTCCCTTCCACCAGGTCGCCTAAATAAACAGTGAGTAATTCATGCCAAAACTTCCAGGATATGCAATATTAATATACCAAAATATGGGACCGAAAAGCTCCTTGATGAGCTCCTCTGCCTTCGCCCTGAAGCCCTCATCTGCTAGTTTCCTTGCATAAATCAGAAGTGCTTGCTTATATTCAAGAGCGCTATCGAGCGCTTTGGCAGCGTGCAACTTGCTCTCCAGATGACCGAGTGTGAGCGCCGTATTCCACCATGTGGGGCGCTCTTTGTGAGGCGCCGGAATACTCGTACTGCCGATTGCACCCTCGATGGAGGCTACAATGTCTTTGTCTTTGTTCGCTCGTTGACGACCTTGCCATACATCCGAGCCCTCTGCCCACCAGCGCTCACTTAGTTTTGTCCAGGAAAAAAGCTGAACATCGTAAGTATACGCGATACCGGAAGAGCAATGAATCATTGGTGCGCCATTATGTCGAACAGTGGCAGACAATATCGTGCAATTCGGCGAAGAGGAGAGGAGGGGTGCAACGGATGTAGGGGGAAAGAAGGATGCAACATTCTTCACATTTCTAAGAAGAGTAAGCTCTATGGAACAAAGGAAGTCGTGCAACTTACATCGAGCTTAGCTGACCAGAAGCTGTGAGTATCATTAATGCCAACTTGCAGCCGTGCATCATCACGCAAGGTGACCCAAAGCTTAGAGTTGCCATCAATCTGCCAAACATTATTAAGACAGCGATGAGACTTCCGTTTCACCACAAACCTTCGACCTGTGTGTGAATACACGTTGACAGAACCGTCTTGCGTAGCAGCCCCACAAAATGTTGTGGACGCGGTCAACGCGAGCACAGGAGATGGTAAATAATCCAGCCATAATGTTTGCTTTCCATCAGCAAACGTGACTTCCGTGGCCCCTGCAAGAAACATCAGCCAAATTAGAACGAGTCGAAGGTCTTACGAACCATCTCCTTCTGAATTTCGGGCCTCAAAGACAAAGTCACTTCCCTCCACATTGGCACTTAGGAATGTCAACAGTGGAGGGACAGGCAGCAGATTTGCACCTTCAATATAGCTGCGGGCGCGTCGAGACCAAACTCGTCGATGTGATTTCTCGCACTGCGACTGTTTCCCTCGGTCGATCGCCACCAAGGGTACGGGGCTTAGACGGCCGGTCCTCGGGCGTATCAAGGACCGACGCTTTCCGCTTGCCCTTGTTTGCACTTGACATACTTGTGTCGAGTGCATCGATGGGAACATCCATATCCATTGGTCCTCCCATCTCAATATCAGCGTCATAAGTTCGTGGGCTTGGCACTGGTGATGCAGAGTGTGATGCCTGGCGTGATCGAGGGATCTCTGGCACTTGGAATGCACGCGGTCCGAGGCCATTTGCTGAAGGCGGTAACGCGGAAGTTGATACTAGGGCTGAACGTGATGTTGATGCAGAAGGCACGGACGACATAAGCATGGGTTGCACTCTCTTCTTATTGCTCTTCTTTGCAACGAGTTTGTTGATGTGCTCGGCACCATTAACCCCATTCGATGCACCAAAACCGGATTGCGACTGCGACTGCGATTGCGATTGCGATTGCGATTGGGCGCGGTTTGGGGAGGGTGGCGGCGTGATCCTTGATGCTGAAGCAGCATCTGTACTGTGAGTGAAAGTGCCGTGCGAGAATCCTTCTGGAATTGGTGGCGGTACAAAGCCAAACTTGTGTAAATATTGCTCTTGAGCAGAATGTGGAGCAATGCCTTCCAATTCTTCAGGGTCAAAATGGAAAACGGCTATCGTTCCGTCCGAAGATGCGGCATACAGAGTCAGACCATCCCAGGACCTTCACAGAAGATTAGTCAGATCCTCAACGAAGGTCAAGAGAGGCTTACCAGCTGAGATCCATGATCTGTCGTTCAAAAACTTCACGTGCGACGATGAGAGGTCGTGCAGATTTTGTCTGCCAGATGGAAATAGATCTGTCATCCGCGCCAAGAGCAACTACAGAGCATATGTTGGATGTAGCAATAGGTGATGCGGGATTTCGCAGAAAAATATGCGGATTGTAGGCCTGTAACGTGCATAAGAATGAAAACACTCCATACACGGTCAGCACGTACCGCAACCTCAACTGTGTTCTCATGACCAACCAGACTGATCTCAGAAGTCCATGTACCACGAGTTATGACTGCTGCAATGAAAACGAAGCCTTTATTGTTCGTTGCATTCGAAGCAGTGATGTGAGCACCATCAGGCGACCAACTGCAAAACTCTGTAAGAAACCGATTTGAAGAATGTGACCAGTGGCACTCGCCTAAGACGGCGGAAAAAACGTGCTGCCAGGAGAGTCCTCGAAGGGTTTTCTGATTTCTGCCTCGAGTTGCCAATCGGTCGTTCTCCAAATTTTCACGGACTTGTCGTCGGACTGAGTGGCCATAAATTCGCCCACAGGATCCCAACAAACGCCTTTGACGAATCCTTGATGTTGATCCAGTTTTCTAAGACGTTCTGAAAGTAGTATGAGTAATGAACTTCTTGCGCTGAACTACTGAAGCTAGAAAAAATGCTCGAAGACGTTTGGAAGCACCAGTTACTGAAGTGTGTAATAAACTGACAGCTGCGAACGGTGCAAGCAAGAGTGCAAATCCAACTCACCCAGAGTATATCCACACCAGACTAAAACGACAGAATCAAGGCCAACTGAGGCGAGGGTAACGATCTTCTGGCGCCCACGCCAGGTCGGTAACGTCTGGAATTTGCTCAGTGCAAACAGAAACACAAGTAGACAAACCCAATTCACCGCTTTCGTGGCCTGGAAGTCGCTTCATTGGTTTCCATCCTTCTACATTGACTTCGTTGGAACCAAAGACCTTGCCCCTACCCGATCTGTATTTAAAGGAGAGAAACGCAAATAAATGTTTTAGAAGCACATCAAAGTTATATACCAAACTCACGGATCAAGATCCCATATCATCACAATCTCGTCGTCGCTCCCACTTGCAAGCCACCTCCCAGAATGTGCCCACCTAATCGTTAAGACGGGACCTGTATGCATACTCAGTGTGCACAAAGACTTTGGTGGTCGATTGCACATTTCGGATGCATGGTTAAGAATAGGTTTCGTGCTCCAAATACGAATTTTGGCGTCTAACCCTCCTGTCGCTATGCGCGAACCATCAGGATGAACATGAACGGAAAATATGGAGAGACGCTTCGTGTCGTGGTCGGTTTTGGAACTATCTGTGAGGCAGAAGATGGCTAAGAAGTAACTACTCCGTACGCTTCAATACTCACCTTTGTGCATAACCCAAGCGGGTTTCGTGAACTTCATTGCTGCGCAACTGGAGGCCGTGCTGGGCGGATAAGTACAACAGCCTTGAGCACCCAATGCTTGAGACCGAAATTGGTAAGCCACGTGGTTCCTCACCATGGGGCACTAGACTGCTGCGGGGTTTGCCGCGACATACCAAACTTTGACCTGTACGCTACTACTACTAGTACTACTAAGTAAACACGCAACTTGCTTGTTGCCGGCCACACGCTCAGGACTCTGCATCAGCCTGGTGCCTTGAAGGACTCTACACAATTAATACAAACTCACTCGGTTATTGTTGTCTTGAACTGCAGCACTGAAGACTAATTTCCAGTGTGTTCCGAACTTCCAACTCCTGAGACACCAGATTTCAGACTTCAGCTTTCCGGATTCTGAGATGATACGAAAGTCCACTATTAAAGCATATATTACAATGTGAGTCTGCAATATAACAACCTGAGTTTTGACATTATCAGATTCAGCAAGTTATGTTGCAGCACCTTTGTCGCGGTCGGCGCGGTCACAATGTCGCAGACTCGCAGCACACCCCAAATATGGAAAGAGGGTGCCCGCGACGACCGCGACAAGTCAGTGCATAATCATATGTCAGTCAAATGTCAGTAGCCAATATTCAATTCCAAATGAGGTCGATTTTCACCGTTATCGATGGCTTGAGCAATCTGTATCGTCTCGGCGTCACTCAGTGTTTCCCTCATCCTCAACTTGAAAGATTATGAACTAGTACTAACTATTGGTAGGAAACAATGGTTAATTTTGTCAGTCGACGCCTTCCAATACTCCGTGTGCGAAGCTGACAGGGACAACAGGGCTTAATCCGGCACATTTATAACTACTATTATCCTACTAATGTGGCGCCCTCTACATGTACCCACGCACGTAGATTCCCAACCATCAGCAGGCGCGCCTGTGTCTCCAAATGCACCTAGTGCATCACCCACCCCATCGCACCAACACTGTCCATTCAGAACTCTTTGGCCGCTGCAGGGACTATGCAAACATCTTATCCATTCGTCCCCATCCTCATACGTCGTCATCAATTTTAATATACCGTCAAGCCCACTACCTCCCTTCAGCTCGGCGATCTGCAAAGGCTCAGTGATGCACATGCCAATCGATTCGAGACTGTGCAGCTCAGTTCAAATGCCCGATCTAACACGCTTGCCTACCCACCCGTTCCCAGCAGCCCAGTCGGTCATTGGTACTAATGGGCGAGAAGTTCTGGCCACCGCCACCAAGCTTGATGCTCCTCAAAACACGAACATGGTCCCTCTCAGAGTAGCCACATCGGCTGCTGCTGTCCCGCAACCGCAAACGAAGCACCTCCAAGAGGACCGTCCACCACCAACGAAGGTACCTGCTACCCTGAAGGACCCACCGATGCAGAACAAGGCACCTATCACTGCCCGCGCCACGTCAGATATCAAAGAGGTGAAAGATACTCATGCTAATTTATCCGAGCTCTGGGATGGTTGGCCTGACGGAAGTAATGCTCACCTGTTTTCTTGGGAGGAAGCCTATCAGACAGATTTCTTGATGGAACACTGGGCCAACAGGAACCGAAGAGGCGATAAGGGACGAAGCGACGATGCTCAGAACTGGCAAGATGGTTTTCGGACATGGCGTGCATGTCTCGGAATCATTGTCTGTGACGAGCCCACTTGCCAAATAATCACACGTCCTGCCACACGCAAAACCACCCTCATTAGTCAACTCCATGCTTCCTGCGTCCTCATCGGCCTTCCTCGCCTCGAAGACATCCAGCATTTGCCTATCGGACGTTATCTACAGCAGCAGGGAAGTCAAGCGTCGTCAACAGGCGGCTATACTGTCAAGTATTGCGGTGATCTGACTGCAGTCCAGCAAGCACAGGTCGCCCATTGGATATTTGATAACATCGAAGAGGCGCAAGAGACTGTGGTGCAATGGTTAGGCTGCGCGGCATTTGCTCACGCACTCAGTGTTATGCTCGCATGCAACAAGCGCAGCATATTGGAGGCAGATCCCGACTACCCCAGAGATGGCACCACGGACTGCGCAGGAAGAATTCATTCTCGAAGCCGCATGATCAACCCTTTTAAACCGGACTGGCAAAAGCACAGGACGTGATCCACACGGATGTTGACCTGGAATGTCTGTCGGTCTTCGAACAGCGCCTGTTCGAGAAGTTCGGCTCAGCCAGGCTCTGCAGGAAACTATCAGTGGGGCCTGGATGCTGGGAACCATCAAGATGGTTGGGACCCATATGCTGGGCTCCCATCCCACTGGAACCACGAGGATCGTAATGAAGGAGATCCCTGGTTATGATGAAGACGAGCTCGAGGTACTATGCTTTCCGACTTTCGAAACGGTCCTAGTTAACGATCAACTTAGCACGGGCCAGGTTTCAGTGACAGCGACAATGTCGAGCAACGTACGTCACGACCTCGGAAGCGACAGGTAACAAAATCCCATGGAGGACCAAGAAAGCGAAGAAAGTTGGCACTGACCGCGTCTTGAGATGATGCCCGCGACTGCGCAGTCACTCACTTAGAAGAAAGAAAAATAGCATTGTATACGCAGGAATAAGACTACAATGCAATATGAAAGATTGTTTGGCGACAAGGAAGATAGTTGTTGAAACGATATATGGGAGAACTGACTTGCAGACCAGAAGTACTTGTGATGATACCGTCTGACCGTGACTTTGTGAGCATGATTATAATAATAAGGAGTGGGCGCATGCTCGACTTGGCCATGGTTCGTTTGGAGGACAAGGATTGGGAGGTTCCAGTGACTAGCAGTAAGTGTAATTGATGCGCACTCACTATTTGGGAGCAGCGCAGCAGTGGTCGCGGCAGTTGCCGCAGTAGTCGCAGCAGTACTTGGCGTAGCATTTTCACGATGCACCATGTAGAGGTTCAGGCTTATGTCATGAAATCATGTTGGGAGAACTTGTCTTCTTCCCATTCCGACTCGTCGTGCTTACTACGGGGGACTAGCTACTTCCTTATGATTCAAGCTACCAGTTCTGTAGCATTCTAATTCATCAACCAACAATACCCTTAGGCTACTATAGTCGCCGCTGGACACTAGACGGTCGCGCCAGATATCGCAATTCATACGTGATATCACCCAGCGCTAACTTCTGCCCCATGATGCATAATGTCTGGTTTGTACAAAGTTGGTTTTCCCCACCTCTGCCACTTCGTGAAGCACACCATATGCATGATAACATCTTTAGCCACATCCCTGTTGGTGTTCCCCTGGTTTTTGACAGCCACGTTGGGACATGGGGTGTATAATAGAACTCAAATCGCCGATCCATGAACATAGTCGACAGCTCATTGAGTCCAGTGGGATGATTCTGCGAAGTACTGACTTAGGCGAACCTCCAGGATTCAGTCGTCAAATTCACGCTGGATTTCTGTCCAACCGTCATGACATATAACAAAATTTACAGGTAAACAGATGTCCGTCAATCGCATAGTTCTGCCTATTGTTAGACCAGGATCTTACGCCATTGATGAGGAATGTGATATCACTCGCACAATTCCGTGTTACATGCGAGTGGAGATAGTTGTGGCTCAGCCGTGCCTGTTCTGAGTGCTTTTATACAGGGATTCTTCTTCCGTCACACTCGTTCCTTTCTCTTACCGAGATGACGACCTCTGTGAGTGCTACCCCGGAGGAGAAAACCCCGACAGCGGATGGCTTTAGTCGGCCCGTCTCTTTACTGTCTTCTATTGGTAAAAGAAGTTCTTCTTTGCCCACTGATGACCTGGTGGATGAGGCAGAGGAACAGTTCTCATGGACAACGGCCATCTTTCGTCGAGAGCAGACGGTCCCCCGTGACCCTGATGCAATTGTGACCAGACGCTCTGTTTTCGATGATCCTGACCTTGCACCACACTATTGGCCCAAGAAGGACTATGAGAATCTCCACAGATTTGATACAACCGCTCGTTGGACGTACAGGGAAGAACAGGTCAGTTTTTATACTTATCGTGATTTAAAGTGAGGTTGCTCATGCTAAATGGGAGGAAGGTCCTAGTCCGCAAGTTGGATTGGAAGATTATGGCTACGGCAGCTATAGGATTTTCCGCCTTGAACTTGGACAGGAGCAACATCAACCAGGCAAACTTGGACAATTTTCTGCAGGATCTTGGATTGACTACAGACGGCAAGCTTATTCAATAGCCATATGAATAATATCCTGACTTTTCGTCATTCAGACTTCAACCTCGGAAATACTGTGTTTAAGTTGGCATTCTTATGCGCAGAACTACCATCACAGCTTGTCTCAAAGCGAGTACGTGTATTTACTGTAGATTGTTTCGTGTGTCTTATGGTCGTATCAAAGATCGGCCCGGATCGCTGGATACCAACGCAAATTTGCCTCTGGAGTATGTAACAGAACGACTGTATCAAAACAGTTCTTATCGATAACTCACAGGTTTCGTGTCTCTGTCACAATTCTGGTTAACCGGTAGGACCTCGTTCCTGGTCAGCCGGGCGCTTCTTGAGTAATATCATGTAATTGCTGTCCCAAGGCTTCTTTGTACTGACTAGTGAATTCAGCGCCTTGCAAGGCGGGTAAGTAAAACTCCTGCGCGCGCTCGAGTACACCTTTTCACATTCCACAGCTTTATCCCCGACCTGATATTATATCTATCTTGTATGTCAGTTACCTTCCACCCCATCTCATATTGCTGACTTTTCGGACAGATTTTTACACGAAGACGGAGCTACCCATCCGCCTCGCCCTGTTCTGGATGTCTTTAAACCTATGCGGTATCGTTGCTAGTTTTCTAGCCTATGGGACGCTTCACATGGGTGGTGTGGCTGGCACTGCTGGATGGCGGTCAGTAGAAGTTTGTTGCTCATTCCGCAAAAACCTGACTTGATCGAAGGTGGCTGTTCATGATTGAGTACGTTCATTTCTTTCCAATGACACAAGCCGCGCGAACTCGACCCTCCAACAGGGGAATCCTCACTCTCCTTATAGGAGTTTTCTCTTTTTTCCGCATGCCTCCATCGCCAATGCAGACCAAAACATGGTTCCGGCCCAACGGTTGGTTCACAGAAAGAGAAGAAATCATTATCGTCAACCGAGTACTTCGGGATGATCCCACCAAGGTAAGTAATTGTGTCACAGCTGTAACGAGATTCTATAACTAACTAACTCACTCCCTCAGGGTGACATGCACAACCGTGAGGGCCTTACATTGCGTCATCTATGGACAGCGATGTGTGATTATGACCTTTGGCCAATTTACATCCTGTACGCCTTTCCCCTGATCTTTGTAAGAGTTGGGCACTCATGAAATGCAGTGGCCTCATGTTTGGCATCCTGAACACTCCCCCCTCGACATATCTCACTTTACTACTTACGGACATCGGGTGGGTATCATAAGTATCCCTTCGTTTGACACACTCAAGACCAAGAACACAGATTCGATACATTTGACACCAACCTCCTTACGATACCCTCTCAGGCTCTCGGAATTGTCACGATGTTTTTGATCGCACTTGTCTCAGAGTTCGTCAACGAATGTTCTATTGTGTCAATGATGGAGGACCTCTGGACGTTGCCTTTCCTCGTTGCACTCTATGCATTGCCTAGCAACCCTAACCCTTGGATATTTTTGTGAGTGACGCGTTTTACGCAGCGCATCATACGCGGTTTACTCAACCGTTCAGGCTGTGGTGACTGGTCTGTTGTCATATCCGTAAGTTCGAACTTGTTAGCATCCATATTCTTGAAGACCCTTCTTGACGTCCTCGTGTTACCAGATATACCCATCCAATCCAGGTACTGCTTAACACAATCCTCAAGCGAAATACTCATCTCTTGTTTCAGGTGGGGTGGTGCTCTCGTAACGCCGGGGCAGTGGCAAGTCGAACAGTTAATGTGTCGTTGTACAACATGTATGGAATTCTCCATTATTGAACTGGAGGCAAACTCACTTTCCGCTAGGTTCGTGCAGGCCAGCGGAATCATATCCGCACAGATCTATGTAACTAGCGATGCTCCCAGATGTATGTCACTGCTCTTTCCTTTCCCAGGCAACATAATCGTCATACTCATCCACGCGCACAGATCGGCACGGCAACAAGATCCTCATCATCATCTGCTGCGTCAACATCTGTATTCTGTACCCAGGTACGAAGGCATATTACATCTGGCGCAACCGACAACGAGCTAAGATTTGGGATGCGATGACGACAGAAATGAGTTCATCGTGGACTTTCTGGACCGCTAGGGCTCTGGCGCTAAAGACTTGTCCAATGATAGGAACGTGCACACTATCTGAGCACGACCAGGGATGTTGGGAACAGAAGACTTGATTTCCGTTTTGCACATTGATGATGTGTTTAATCATGCATATTTAATCAATTTCCAACTGCATTCGACTTGCGAGCCTTGAAGATAGGAGGAGCGCCATACCATCAGCACTTGAGCTCGAAAGTGTACGCCCAAACACAGATTAGTATTCGACAAGCCCAGTGTCCCCAGCTGACAAGCTCGGGCTCACCAGTCGTTGACAACAGAGACAAGCTTGATGAGTTAAGTAGTAGTGCCGTGTATGATTGGCTGCAGAATAAAAGAGTGAACTCGAATATATTTCTGAACGACATAAACTAGGAATAGAAATACATCGATCAGCAATGAACTTCGGGTACATGTGCTGCGATGAGAGTTGAGCAAAAATTGTATGCCCGCAGAAAAAAAGAGGGGCCTGGTGTCGGAATGCTGTACCATGCTAAGCGTACACTATAGTCCGACTCAATTCAGCTGAATGTATTCAATGGGTGTCACTGATCGGTCAACTTCAATTGAGATTGCGGCTCGGATCTGCAACATGGCCTTGCGCACAATGAGTCGGATGCCAACCAAAATGTTGCGCTGACATTTTTTGAATTGACATGCTGTGTGCATATAGGAGTATGCAGGCAGAGAGGGGTACGAGGCAGTCCTTATAGAATGTGATCGATCCGACTGCCTTAGGCGGGCCAGTAACCGCCCAGGGGATAGCCTAGTCCAGTGTCCTCCATGACCCACAGAGAGAGTTGGACTTATGCTCAAAGATACTCGTGTTGCTATTAGTATTGTGATTGGAATGAAGCCTCCAAGTTCATTGAGCCTTTCCGAGTCAAATCTGTGTCAACTCCAGTAAGTGAGTAACTAAAGGTAAACCAGGCCAAATATTATGTGCAAATAACACCTACTCAGTCGCGACATCGCGTAGTGCAGGACGCGTCTCGACTCTCAATCAAAAGACTCTAGAGAAAGCCAATAACTTAGCGTTTTCAGTATGAATCTTGAAGGACGGAAACGTTCATACGTACACCCGGCGCGCTCTTGGGTCAACATTATCTGCCCGCTGGTCGTACCCATGTCGTCGAAAAAGTTCAAGTTGAAGCTGTTACCTGCCCGCTACCATAGCGGCTGGCGGTTGATCATAACGTGCTACTGGTGGTTGCTTGCGACTCGTACGGGGCTTCAGCCTGAGCATCCCTCACATTAAAGTCCCCATTTAATTATTAGGCAAGCTCAAAGTAAGTTTTGAACTTGCAGCTGCAGTCGCTTTCCGTATCTCCACCGCTCCAGTTCCCGCCAAAGGCGACCCGGTGGCGATTCCAGATTCAGTTGAGATTATTCATGTCCTCATGACGTGGTCTCTAAAGGTGAGGCCCATGCCAACTACGGTTGGAGTAGTAGTGGGTCGCTTCTTCACTTTTCAGCTATCCATTCGAGTCTGAGGATGACGAGCCGACCCTACGTGGTGGTAAGGGACACTCGATCTTTTCAGTCGTAGTCCCCTCACCCAGTTCTTGAAATTTGTAGCATCCAATTCGCTGTTACACGTCAAATGACAATTCATTCTTGAAGAACCCTTGCTGATATTCAGCGGATTGAATTGACAAGCAGGGGTGCTTAATTGTCTTTGTGGACTGGTTGTCTACTCATCTTCGTTGTTTGACCACTCTCGTCGGATGGGGAGGAGCTAGAGTCCAAACTAGGCTCTAATTCTGGTGTTACTGCCCAACATTGCTCTAGACGTCCTTGAATATTGAGGATCCTCACCTCCCCCAGGTTCGTGCAAGCTCGGAATCATACTTGCACAGATCTAAGCGGCCAGCGATGCTCCACGGTATATGCTACTCAGCCAACCCCTTATCATCGTCAGCCTTTGTATCCGGACACGATTGTGTTCGACATCTGACACGCTCGACAGACAGCTAGGAGTTGGGACGCAATGACATCATAGGTGAACTCACAGCGGCTATGGCGCTGGCACTAGGGGACCTGCCACAACTTTCGTTGGGAAATTGTTCCGTAGGCAGAGAGTGCGAAAGTGGCTGGTCGAATGATAGTGAGCACGACCAAGGACATTGGGAACAAAAGAAGGATGTGATATATTTAGTATTCAAAGTTCAATGTGAATAGCCGTAAGAAATCACACGAGATAAAGGGGGGAATAGAAACAATTGATTGATAGAGAAATACAAGAAATCTAATTTTCACAAAGTCCATAGCAAGCCAGTAAAGTAAGGTCCATGATAAAGTCCTTCGAAACATCCCCTAAGTATCTAAGTCGAAACTATTATGTTAGTTGCAAGCACCCAAATCCTTCCAAGTTCCGGAAGTGTCACCAGGCTTGTTACTCGAGGTCCACTGCGTAGAGATCCAGAGATGGCCATTAAAGGTCACTTTGGAGCCCCCGGGATAAGCAGTAGGCTGGCTCCAAGCAGGGATTCCGGTACAATCAACCTTGTTGCTAATCGGTTGGTTGCAAACCCCAGTCAGAGTCCACGCGCCAGCAGCAGACTCAGGGTTGTTGTTATAACTCCACTGATTAGCGGTCCACAGTTGATTGTTGAAAATCACTTGAGCGCCTGCGCTGTACTGAGGCGGATGTCAGTGGAGGGAGAACTGAAATTAAGATACAACTTACTGCGAGATTAACCTGCCATGGCTGGATACCATTACACGACGCGGATGAAGTGGACGGCTGGCTTGGCTGAGGTTTGCCGGTGGGCGTCAGAGTCGTCGTGGGCGTCAAAGTCGTCGTGGGCGTTGGCGTGGTGATAGGAGGCTTAGGCGTCAGCGTCGTTGTGGGCGTTAGCGTAGTAGTAGGAGGAGTAGTAGTAGGCGTAAGCGTGGACAGCGTAGTAGTAGGCGTAATCGTGGTAGTGGGAGAAGGTGTGGTAGAGGTCGTAACAGAGGTAGAAGACGACGACGTGGTGGTGGTGGGTGTAAGCGTAGTAGTAGGGACGACAGTGGGCGTGATTGTGGGAGTTGGAGCAGGCTGAAAGGTGCCCGAAAAAAAATCAGATTTGATGCAAGTGAATGACAACAGTGGCATACCTGATTGTCGCTCCTTGGGAAGACCGCTGCGCTGGTAGGTGCCAAAGTGGCAGCGAGGACGAATGCGACACTAATGATTTTGGAGTACATGATGATTTGATAGATTGATGTGAGAATTGACAGTTGAGTTGATTGTGAGTTGGATGAGTTGAGTTGGAAATTATCTGTGGTCCTTTTATACGCCGTGAGGAGGACCTCATCGTAGAGCCGGGATGCTTGGCGGATGATAATGATGTCACCTCGGATATTATCAATAATGTATTGAATTGCAATTTCAAACTGAGCGGATATCCTTTGCTTCCCGATCCCCAGATCTGAGACATCCGATGAGTCATCCTTAGGGGTACATTCAAGTCAGCGTCCCGCCAAGCATATCCGAAAACTATTGCGCTCAGCTGAGTATGCACTGCGAGCCAGATCCGCCGGGGGGAGGCAATTGAAGTGATTGGGTTGGCTATGGGACCGCTGGCGGCATTCCGTTCGGGGAATGACAGTCTGTGTCCTCCGAATCGTGGTTCATAGCCAGAGAAAGCGGGCGAATCATACTGGATCGTCCTCTTTTCATCATAAGATTCGATGTGTTGTCAGTATTTACTATTACAGCTGTTTGCATAAATGATGACAGTACACGACTTTTTGGGAAAGAAGAAAAATTAAATATTCTAGTGTGGCACTTCGTCTTGCGCCGCAACAATCAACCGCAATCAACATCGATGTATCAAAAAATCAGTCGCGACGTCAAACTCGCTGCCGTCAATCTCTACGAGCGTCAACACCTTTCTCTTCAGGACATTCTCGCTTGTGTTGGACAACTTGGATTCTCGGAAAGTACTTTCTGGCGTGTCCTTAAACTTTGGCGCAAGACAGGCAACGTTGTTAGCCCCACCTGTAGCCTTCTTGGTTTCTTCATTTCTGAGTATGAATACACTATGAGAGTGTACGAGATCGAGACATTGTGTGGTGGTGTATGAGGGACCCCTTTGGACAAAAATAAAAACTGTACTTTGCGCTGGAAAAACTGAGAAATGAGAGAAAAAACCTTGCACTATCTGAAAAAAGTCACACTTAAAAAAAAAAGTAACGCTTCAAAAAAAGTCACGCTACTTAAAAAAATGTCACACTGAGAAAAGATCACACTCAAGAAAAAGCAACAATGCCCGCTGCCTCTTGAGATCTCGAGACCTAAGGCCTAGGTCTTCGAAGTTCTAGTAGTAGCTGCTGATAATGATCTACCATGATGACTATCGTAGCGGTGACAAGCCGGCAGTCCCCGACTCTGCCTGCCTTTTTCTCTTCTCTTTCTCACGCCAAGTTGTCATTCAACATGTTCTTCTTGTCCGAGTCCATGATCCTCCAGCACTCTGATGGCTCTAATATTTGCTCTGTATGTGTTCATTCTTTCGCCTATGTGTCACTCAAGGTGACGTACAGCTGTCCCAGCACTGACAACCATGTTCTGCTGGCACAAATCAAAATGTGGCCACAATGTCACTCTGCGCCTTCCCAAACTCATTATTAAACCCCATTATGTACGTACGCCCCCGTCTACCAATCCAATTCACAAACCTGCACGCACCTCCATCTATCTGCTTCTGCATTCACTGTGTGTCCCGTCCATTTCGCGATAACTTTGCCTGTGTCCATGTCCCACAGCCTCACTCCGCCATCCGAACTTCCGCTAACCGCTTTCTTCCCGTCCGGAGACAACGCTATCGTCCACACTCCGCTACCCCCGTCCGCCAGTCCTTTCCTATCTGTTTCCCACTCTTCAAGTTCCACATCGGCAGCGAGCCGTCGGATGAACAAGTCATCATTCGTTGTCCGTCCAGTGTATGTATGGCGCCCTCGAGAAAATCGGCGTGTCCTTCAAATTTCTGGCAGGGTGTTATCGCGGAACCCTCCTGCGTCTTAACGATGGGTGGAGACAACGATGGGTGGAGACATGATTCTCAGTTTCAACTACCGAGTGCGTCGCTACCTCAGCCTCATTCAACAAAGTCTAAATTCATCACTAACTACAATATGTTTTGACACAGACACGCTGAGCGTTTAGGTCAAGTCGGAGTCGAGTACACTGGAAGTTCGAGATGGTACGTTTTATATGCGAAATCCTTGTGATATCTAATACTATCAGCCGTGTGGGACACCGGACTCGTCGAAACCTACTCTTCAAGCTTGGGAGCGCTAGCAGTTGAACACTAAGCCCTATTTGTGATTTTCACGCGGTTTCTCAAGTTTCTCAAGTTACCCAACTGATAACTGCTACGCATTGTACGGCATCGGTTCTCCTGTCTTCCCACAAGACGTGTTTCAGAATTTCCTCAACCGCACCTCTAGCATCAATATCATCGCTCCCTATCTCAACCCCACCAGCTATGCGCAAGCCAGTGGGCTGCCCATGATTATGATGGAGACAAACTCAGCATCCTGTGGTGGCTTACCTGGGATTAGTGATACCTTTGGCGCGACTCTATGGGCACTCGATTATGGCCTTCAGATGGCTTATAGCAACTTCTCAGGTGCAATGATGCACGTTGGTGGACAAGATGTGTACTACAATGTGAGTTGCGTGTTCTGAACCCTTTGAGGTGTCACTGAGTCACGCACCCTGTCCAGCCTTTCAACTCGTGAGCCCTCCGCAGTTGAAAGCAGCTGAGAGAAGGCCATACTTACATTTCTTTGTAGCACCTCCTCTGCAAGCCAACACCGATAACATGTTTACTCCTGCCTACGCAATCTACGAAAATGGTGCCCCCGTGCGGGAAGTACAACATTATGTGGGCAGGCCAGGTGAGTCCGGTTACCTTTTTTTTTTGGTTTACTCATGTCCATTTCAGACCTTTGGCGGAACCTTCCAGTCTGATGGCCGCCTAACGGGCTCAGAAAGCGTGCAGACAATTAACTGCGACCAGTCATCCAATACATGTCAAGTGACTGTCCCTGCCCCTGGCGCCGCACTTGTCTTCCTCTCCTCCAACGCATATGCAGAGTCAGGGAACCCCTCGACCCAGACATTCTCTACCACGGCGGTCACGAAGACAGTGAACACAGCGAGGATTGACCCGAGTGTGCTGGCAACCTCGAATGGGATGTCAGGAGCCACATGGGAGCTTGGGAGTACGAGCAAGGGGAACACTGGTGCCAGCCTGAGGAATTCACTTTCAGTTGTTTCTATTGTCGGTGCAGCTGTGCTGAGCACCGGCATGTTATGCACATGGCTCTGGTCATGATTAGGACAGCCACTCAAACACACCGTACGTGTTTGCTGCATCACCATTTCTCCCAACGGAGAACAGCTCACCAAGAACACACTTTCTGCAGCATTCGGGATGGATTACTTATACTTTGCGCGTCACAGTAAGGTGAAGTTGGGCCTAAAGCTCTATGCGGAGGCCCTTTCGGACGCGGAAAAGGTGTGGACGATATCCGTTATCGATTTGACAAATCTGATGATATTCGCAGGTCATTGAGCTCAACCCTTCGTCTTATCTCGGGTACGAACTAAAGCACGCAGCGCTTCATGGAGCACATCGCCATTATGATGCATTCGAAGCCTTAACAATCATGCTCTCCAAGTTGAATGATACACTCGACTAACGGATACGACGTAAGCCCCAAATAACATAAGCGCCGACTTGAAGGTGATTTACAATTTTTGCAGAGAAGTTCTGTCAAGTCGCTCGTGACGCGGGGCATCGCTGGGCGTGGGTCGATACGTGCTGCATCGATCAGAACAACAATGTCGAGCCCGGAGAATCAGTCAATTCCATGTTCATCTGGTATCACTACTCAGCCATCACCATCGTCTACCTATCAGATGTTCTTCCTTGATCAGAGTCTGGTGCGCTCGCAAACAGCATTTGGAACATGCGAGGATGGACCGTCCAGGAGTTCCTCGCTCCTAGAATTGTTCTCTTCTACTGAGTAGATTGGACCCTATATCTCGATGACCGCTCGCACAACCACAAGCAGTCTGTCAGTATCATGAGGGAGATGGAGCATTCAACTGGCATAAATGCATGGGTGCTCAGAGTAGAGGAGTATGTCTATGTAGCAGTATTAATGTTGTAGGTACTCGTCAATAATATTATACTTGTTCCATATGAGTACTCGTCCGAAGTAGTAACAACACAGCCACAGTCAATTTGTCTGCTACCCTCACACTCGAAACTATACACAACATTTACACAATGTTACCTGCTAAATACCAGCCTGTTTTGCATGATGATGACTGCAACTTATGGCAGAAGGAGCCAATCAGACAGAATTTCAAGAGCCTTGAAGAAATACGCCTTTCAAGGAAGCAAGTTGAATCTATGCTTCAAGACACCATCAGTGTGATCAAGGAAGATCCATCTTGGGTAAGCACAAATCTTATCATATATATACACATATTGATCACCTGTTGCTGTTAGTGTGTCCTGATCAGTTCTTGGTGCCTTGTCACCATTGGTACCATCCCATCTTTGGATGATACCCCTTCGCTATTTGTTCGGGTCTTATATGAACGTTATTGAGATAAGGAAAGGGGGGATCTGGCTGCAAGAAAGATGTTACGAGAGGGCCTAGATAGGATCCTCCAAAAAGAGGTGAGTAGCTCAATCAATAATTAAATACATATTTTCACAATAATTAAATTATTTAGCTTCATCCTCAACCCAAGGCATCCCAGGTTTTGATGGATATGGATTCTGATAGCGAGGATAATTCTTCTGAGTGGGAAGATTCACCATCTGTTGTTGTGAAGCAGGCTGAGTCCCATGATGTTTCCAAGCCTCACAAATCAAAGCTTCATAAGTTTTGGCTGTTTCTGATATTTAAATTAATGTTGATTGATTTAGAATTCACTGCCAATGATGCACCCATCAAGTGCAGAGAGTGGGCAGAGGCTATTCAGTTGTATTTTTTCAAATACCAGGACTTAACTGTAAAGTCTTTAATTCAATTTTAATCAAGTGATTAACATATGCCAACAGCCAACTCAGCTTCAGCTTGCAGAAGCAAAGGCAGTTGACACTCTCGTTACGATCCGCCTGATAGGGGCTTCTACATATCAATCTAAATTTTGGCCAATTGAGGTCAAGGTATGTGATTTACTGATTTGATATCATCCATCTAATTTATTACCAATAGAAATCTTCCCTCTACCAGCTACTCTGCACAATCTGTGCACCAGATACTGTGCTTGAGCTATCTGCTGATCATCTTGCAGCAAGTTCATGTAAATATCAATGGGCAGCAAGTTTTGGTCTAATTTTGCATCAATGGACCAATTCAAGTGCTTTCAGAGACCCTCCACCAGAGGTACATATGTTTTTGTTAATTAGATTCATCTCACTAACTGGCACCAGCCCAAGTCCCTGAAAAATACTGGTGGGCGGTTTCTTGGTAAGCTGGTTATGGAATGGCTCGATAATATTGATCAGCAAGGTAGAGCCATTCCTGCTGCCAGTCAACCTTCATGTGTTGGTTTTCTTCTGGATGAGGCAGCATTTATTGCTGCATGTAACACCTGGCTTTACACTACTCTTGAGAAGCATGGGCATAAGGAAAGTTTATTATTTTATCATTAATGATTTTTATCTAATCATGTGTCACTAGATTGATTTTGACCCTGCCAAGCTTTATCACAAGATCTTATCTGAGGTGGTCTCTGAGACAAAATTTGACCCTACTAAATTCCAATCTACTCAGTTGCGCTGCATCATTGAAGAGACCATTGCATCCAGGGCATTTTTTGAAATGTATACAGCGTGAGGCATTTGGGAGGGATACTAAAGTTCCAGAGCAGCTTCAGAAGAATATTTCTTCTGAACATCAGAGACGTAACCCATCCCGCTCTGTTCGAGACTCTGCTCCTCCACAGTCTGAATCTCCACCACCTCCTCCTTCCATTCCAGATTCTTCTCACTCCACTTCCTACACTCGCTCATCTTGTGATCAATGCTCAGCTCTACCTTCTTCTGAACACTGTGTCTTGCTTCTTAATGTTAAAAGACGGACTGATGTCCAAGACCTGTTTGGATCCTTGGTCACCTGTGCCCCTTCTGATGACTGTCTTCCCCTTAATGTGAGTAAACATTCTCATATTAATTTTGTATTAATTTTTTTATTCAAAGCTCAAGGAGGGTCAAGCAGATGACCCTCACTATGTGCACCCTCACAATGATTTGCATCTGCAATGTATGGCATTCCATCCTGAAGTATATGCTTGCTGCAAGCGCGACATTGTACAAATGATTGATGTTGAAACTGGTAAATGTGTAAGTGATTTATTATGATTATTTGGATAACTCTCAGTTGTTTGTAGGTTGGAGGTGTTATCTTTAATGCCTTCAATGATGCCAGCCTTCAAGAGATGTGTGAAAATCACAAAGCTATTGTACACAATCCTAGTGTACAACAAGGTGAGGTTTTTCAGAAATGGGCTTACACAGGTAAAATGGTGCCTGTTGGATCACGGCTAGCCAAGGGTGGCCGTCGTGGTGATGGGTATAGCACATACCCCCTTTTATGTGGTGACTCTGAAGAGCATATTCATGCTATATTTCGTCATGCACGTGTATGTAATTTTTAATTGTTGTTGAATATACACTGACTGCTATTTAGGATGCTGGTGCACTTCTTCAAAGTGTGAAGTATGCTGCTCCTCATGTAGCCAAGGATATCAAGGAGAAGAGTGGCAGCTGCTGAAATGAATCGTCTTGGTACCAGTGGTGCCAATATTTTCTACTGCTCCAATTATCTTAGCCCTCAGCACTTTGACCATGATGCCTCCTGGTCCATTTGTTCTCAATTGGACAAGGCAGGAACTGCTGATGAGTGGAACTTTTGTTACACTGAATGGGGTGCATACATTCAAACTCGAGCAAATACAGTTTGGTGAGCATTGTATTTTATCCATTTTGATCTATACTGAATTACAATAGGTGGTTTGATTCCAGCCACCTTCATGGCACCATGGCACCAGCTGCCTCTGTTATTCAGCAAGCAAAGCACCTTCGTGGAGGTGCCTTGTCTACAGGAAACCATCTTACTGCAAGGAAAAGGGATATGCTAAGGGCTCGTGCAATTGCAGACATGCGTAGGCGAGTTGCACAAAGGGAGCAGTGGTGGGAAGATGTTGTTATATGATTTGGTGTAGGATACATGTACAATTACAAGCCTGGGATGGCCTATCAAGAATCCAAATGTGCTCAGATAGTATCATTGCACGCCCCCAACGCGCGCCCAGAACATGTCTTCTTTCAGACGTACGATTTCTTTCCACATACGATCCTCCCATGTCGCGTCACCGGCGTAACCTTCCTCGTCGGTAGTAGAAGAGCGTTTTGTACTACTTGTGTCGATAGATTTCCCGTGTGTGCTGGAATCCTCAGATGCACGCCTGGTTTGGCTAGCTTCGGAGGATGGGTTGACAACAACGGCTTGCGTGGTGGGGGGAGAAACATCCACGGACGCTCGCTTTTCGGGATACGGATGTCCGTTCATATTCGCATCAGGTAAGGGGTTGGAGGTTTCGGTGATGTCATGCTTGGTTGTGGAGGGCTCTACAGCGTCCTCGCCCGCCACAGCTTTCTGTTCATGGGGAGAAGATGCTTTGTGTTTGAATCTGCAACCTGGCGAATACGTGATTGAGATTTTGACGCAGCTCCAGCGAGGGAATACATGTAGGGAATATGATGGGATGGCTGCAAGAATGTGTTAGCAGTTTCGACACCATATTCCAGGAACGGACCTCATTGGTATGATCATTGTGACCTGAAGCAGACGGAAGAAATCAGTAAGAAATACCAGTTCGGGTCAAGGCATTGAAGGTCGAGCTCAAGGAGTATCGCAAAGGAGCGGATCCTTTCAACCGCAAGATTCGCAAGCATGAGAACGTTTGAGATTGGTGGTTAGCTGTTCAAAAGGACGAAAACGCACGAGTTCTTGGGGTGACAATGATATTTGCTCGATACATTTTTATTTGACTCACTCTTATATCCAGGCCCTTGCAATCAAGTTATACTCCGTCGTCCCAGTGTCGATGGCCGACGAGAGGACAGTCTCAACAATTACGTGGCTTAACAGTCCCACTCGGAGCAGACAAGACATCTCAACATTAAAAGAACATATACAGATTCGTCAGTGGCACCGCTGGAAAGCTGATGTGAGTGAAGTTCAGTTGGCTGGACTCCCAACATACTCATACTGTTAATCAGCCAGTAGCACCGACGGTCGCTCCTTCTGTCAAATGGCGAGATATGTATGCAACCATCCATGGTAAACCTGAGACACCGCCTGTCGTCCCGCCGCCTGCTCGACCACCTACCATGACCACGGACATCATTTCGAGCTTGACCGACGAACATCAAGGCAGATGTTCAGACTCGGATGATGAAGATGGGGATTGGCTTGATAATGGTGATATTGCGGACCATGTGGGTTTAGCTGGCGTGAAAAGCACTGAGTTCGACGTGGGTAAAGATATTAACATATCATCCACGTACCTCCTCGATATTTTGTCGGACCACGCTCTACAGCCCACGGCTGCTTGCGAAGGTCTGTCGACACCAAAGGTGATGGCTGCCACAACTTCATCCTCGACACCGATGGATGACGACGAGTGGGAGGAATGGTGATTGGCGGCTTTGTTGTAGATTACGGTCAATTAGACCAAATTCACCTGCAAATTAGCGCAAATCAGCGTCAAAGAGCTATGGGTCAATTTGAGTGAATTTGCTGTCATTTACACCGGTCAATTAGGTCTTCGCAGAGGGTCGTGCTAATTAGCCGGTCAACCAGAGCGGGATCCCTAATTCCCCGAGCCCTACACAGAACCCTCTTCCACTAAAGTGGAGTCGGGGAACAAGATCCGTGACGTACATGTGACAGACTGACAGCACTGACAGGACACAGAGGTGGATTTTCTTCAAGTGTTTTATTTCAATCGCAACTGATTTTCTGGAAGCGTGATTTTTTTTGGAAGCGTGACTTTTTTTGAAGCGTGACTTTTTGAAGCGTGACTTTTTTTTGGAGCGTGATTTTTTTCAGAAGCGTGACTTTTCTCTTGCAAACCACGGCTACTTTCCATGCAAAACATTGATTCGTTATTGTCCAGTGCGGTCACTCATAGTGGTGGAGGTACTGAGTAAAATCTCACATTCAGGTATTCAAGAATCAATGGTCAATGAACTTCGAACAATTGTACCTTCCTTGGGCTTGGGAGGGCGACCGGGCCGCGTTTTTCGTTTTCTGGTGATTCTAGTTAGGAAGTGGGTTCCACGACAATTGTTTCATCCCCTGGAGAGATGTCATACTGGTCCCTGACAGCCGCCGTTATCGAATCGTCGTCAGAGTCCATAGAATCAGAGGATATCGAGTTTGTCATTTTCGACTCAATCGTAAGTCACATACATGCGGGATGCGTTATTTACTGCTGTGTAAGATTTATTTATTTATTCTTCTTTCTCAAAAAGTCGCGTACTGTCATCATTTATGCAAACAGCTGTAAGTAAGTATCGTCGTTCTTGGAACCAAACCTCCAAATTCATTGAACTGGTATCGTAAACCAAATATTTCATAAAGACTCTTCATTTAGCTCAACATCCAGCAAAACACAATGTTGGATCCTCAGCGCTCCGGGCCTAACTCCGAGTCGGAGCGTGGGGGGTAACAGTTAGGCGCAGCTGTTTCAAAGTTGAGACCGTCTGGGACGCATTGAGGTGGATCGGTCATGACATTAGCGTCTACCATACGACGGGGTGGTACGCGGCTCCTGAGTACAGGGTCTATGAGGTTGTTGTTGATGAATGTGGATCGGGGAACTGTGGGGGTGGATGGCTGAACAGAGGGAACTTCTGGAGACGGAGTTGACGGCCTTTTTCTGCGAAATCGAGGAGGTTGTGCACTTTGGGCAGGAGATTCCGAGTCGTTGAACTTTTTCTTTTTCTCGCGATGTCGCTGAGCTCGTTTGCTCGCGCGATTCTGTGCCCTGATCCTTTCTGCACTCTCAGGATCCTCCATCTGTCTGGCGAGCCATCTTCTTTTCTGTTCTGCTTGTTTCTCTTTGGGGTCGAGGCCTTCCAGGTTGTATTTGAAGCGCGGAGGCATGATTAAACTATAAGTTGATACTACTTGGTAATCAAGACATTAAGCCAGGCGAAAACCAAGAGGCCTCACTTACTCTAGTAGTAGTTGCTACGCCGCCATCATAAACCGTGACTACGTGGCGGGAACACACGAATTGTCACACCCACGTGCTATCGAAGCCACTCGTCGCTGTCACACAATGATAAGTACAGCGACAACGACGATATGATACTGATAAGTATACCATTGGCTTGATCGATACCCATCTTCATGGTACTGGTATGTCAGATCCACGGGATCGAGTACCTCCTCCCCCTCGCATCGTCAAGAGCGCTCGGAAACTCGCTGATGCAAGGCTTGATAATCCTACAAGACCAAGCACTACTGTTGCTACAAAGACTGTCACCGATAGCTCAAGGCCAGACAGTCGCATCGCACCACGGGCCCCCATCCCCAGACCCGCAACTGATCCAAGACTCGATGATCCTACAAGGCTTGTTGCTGCAAAAACTGCCACCAGAGTCAACGACGCTAGGCCAGACAATCGTCTCGGAGCAAAAGTTCCCACTTTAAAATCTGCAATCGCTGACGCAAGGGGAGCCGATGCTCGTCCTAGAGACCAAGATTCGAACGCGAGACCAGTCAGTAGAAATCCATCACGACCTGGTAAGTAACTCAAACTAGCCGATGGTGAATGAAAGAATGTCATTATCACTTTCATCAGATGCTGCTCGAAATGTAGCTATCCATGAACCCCTGCGGCAAACTGATGTTGCTGCCAGGGGTCCAAAGAAAGTTACTTTCAATATCGGAGACTTTCCACTGCCCGTGGAACGGCGTCTTGTCGCCCGTAATAGGGTCGGACAGAACTCTGGACGAGGCCTTGGTTCATCTGGTGCCCAAGAGAGAAGAGAAGAGCTTCCCTCTCAATCAGCTTCGTTCTTTCCCGAGAGATCTTCCCAACCTGGTGCTACAAGGAAGTCGTCGGCAAATGGTACGTACGATAAGCACATGAACAACAACCTTGCGTCTCACGCCGACTAGTCCCACGCAGGGGTCTTGGTAGACAGTCAACCAACAATGCATGTAAGCGTATAAAAACCATATCATCCGTACTCTGCTCAATATTCCTTAGTTAACCAGAACCATGCCACTAAATCGCAACCAATGAGCCTCCACATACATACGGAGTCAGTTTCTGGAAAATTCGCGCGAAAGTTTGAAGGTGTAGGCGGCAGGACTCCCTCACGCGTGCCTCGTATGTCCAGCGCAAACAAGGGTATCAGCCAGGACCATCTTGTTGACAGCTCAAGTGAACATAGCAGCGGGAGTGCAAACTATGTCGATGTCGGTTTGAAGTTGTCCAAATTGAGCAGGGGTGAATCCTCAGGCAACTCTGTCGAGATTGTCAAGTGAGTCTTGACTGATGGCAACCGCCGAGTGCTGTCTAACAGTGGTTACGTAGAGAGACCGGTGTCCAGGTGAAAGCAGCTAGAAAATTACAAATTGGACGCAAATCGACGCAAGCCCCACCCGAGATACGACGTTCCGTCACTCCCATAGATTCCCAGAGCAGCGAGTCATCTGACAATGACGAATCTGCGATACCCGCCCCTGCGCGAGAAGATAGCGAGGAACTCGAATATGTGCACATTGTTATCGACTCTCCCAACATCACTCGCGAGCAAACAGAACCATCCTCAGAATCGGACGTTGCAGAAAGGGATGAAGCACCCGCGGAAATACCCTCAGATACTCTCATAGAGGCTTTGGAAAACATTTCACTCACGACCATCCGGCTCGCAAAATTACACCGCCTTCCTTTCAAGCTACGAAACCTCCGCAAAGGATTTCTCATCCGATGCAAGTCCCTTGGAATTGATCCATCTCGTAGTATTCCACCTTCTAAACCCGTTACGGTCATATACAACTGCGTAGCGCAAATCGCCGAGGATAGATATCCAGAGCGACAGGTGACTCGGACGACAATGACACATTGGAAATGTCCACTTTGCGAACTTCACGGGGTATTTCCTACGCAGCAAATTCTCTCCGCTCATCTCCGGTGGGACCATGTAGGAGTACGTTTCTGGTGGGATATGGTATGTTATATGCAGCAACAGAAGATCCAAAATTGAGCAAACTCATGCAGGATGACTATACTCTGTGGGTACAACTTCCACTGACAAGACACGTTGCATTACCAGTTGCATTGCCTGCCAGTAGGCATGTTCCACTGTAAGGTTCTGCTCCAATGATTTCATGTCCACTGCCTGAACATCAGCGACGATGGCTGCTTCACAGAATACCCTATCCACGTGCGATGACTACCTCTTCGACAAGGACTGCTTCGACAGAAATCACCGACTTCTCATCCAATTTTCACAATGACGAATACACTCCAGAAACCACACAGCCTCCATCACGAAATACCTCTGTGGCATCTCAACCTTTTCCTGACGCAAATAAACTTGACATCAAACCAACCCCGATATTTCGTACGGGTTCATTGGCATTGTCGACTACGCGCAGTAGTTCTGTGACGTCTCGCACGCTGTCTCGCGCATCTTCCACTCATGCCTCTGGAAGGCCAACACCTCCTCCCCGATCTGATCCCCTAGGGCCTGCAGCGCAGTATCCTTACCTACTGGAGTCTGATGGCGTCTATTCATGCCGCGTGGGTGGTCCCCGGCTATACGATCTTCTAAACACACTGCCACTAGATAAGTTCGGTGTCCTCGCATGGGTCATCCTTGAAAGAGAAGAAGAAATCTTCGAGCCAGACAACGTGAGAGATGAAGACAAAGTCATGCAGGCGCTTTGGTTCCGCTGGATATTTCTCAATCGGTACGTTCAACTCAACGTGAAGATCTGACATATGCCAACGGGGCGGCAGGAACAAATTCGTCGCGAATTTTTTCGAAGGAACGAAGACATTCATCGACGATAATTGGCAGATGATAGCTCGAGCTGCTGGAGCTGCTGCTTTAAGGACATGGCTTCTCGTACGTGCGGATAGATGTGAAAATGTTGCATGTCTGACGGTGGTTGATAGGTTCTCAGCATTAATAATTTTTTGATGACTTCGGGTGCCGTGGAACTCTTGCGTCACTATCGAAAGTTGACAGGTAAGAAACATTGGTATGATGATACCAACGCAACCCAGAATGAGGTTGCACCTGTATAATATCTGGATACATGGTATATACCTTGGATCTGATCAGACTCCTTCAAGTCAATCGATTAATGCTGATGCGGTGGTCTCAAAGAAGCTTCGGGAACAATAACGGTCGCTCAGAACCTTTCAGAACCCAGATAACTTGGCAGAGGGTTCACGATGAATGATGAACGATGCCAATTGGTTGCTACATATGTAACTCGGGTACTACATATATGTAGTAATAACCTCATCAACTCATTTATAAAAGCACCAAAAGAAAGTACCACCGCCGAGACTCGAGAACCAGGAGTAGTCGTCCAATGCGCATCCGAGTCACTGATGTGCCACAACCGAATTGTGAAGTCATTAATAGTGATATATGCCACTGTCAGAGCGCAGAGAAATATGAAGATAACTTTTTCGATCGAAGTATGTTCTGACAACCTTGCAAGGTATTTGTTATGTTCCATATTAGTATTCTCGGAAGGTCTTTGATGACATCTGGATGGTTTGCGCCAAGGTTGCAAATTGTTATTGTTCGCTGCGACATCAAAAAATTACTACCTCTACAGTATAGCTAGTATATACATCATCAATATCTGCTGCTAGGTATTCGACATGTGACAAAGTTCGGCGGGCGAGGTGAGTCAGTCGGGTGTAGCGGAATTCAAGTCTTTCGCAGCCAATATGGGACGACCGTGTTCCTTATCCATGGGACGACCCAGTTCCTTCTTTACGGTCGAGGCTTTCTTTCTCAGCCAAAGAGAGCGACAGAGCATGGTCTGTAGCGTGGTCAAGTCTCCCTCTGTGAATCGGACATCTAACTTATACTCCTCAGGCACCAGTGTACCTTTGCCGGAACTGCCATCCAGCGGGTCAAACCTCGTGTCTCCCGTCCACCCTTCCCTCTCCATCATCTGGCTGAACAGCTGCCTCAACAATGCGTAAATCGGCTTTTCTTCGAACTTCAAACCACGGCAGTGATCGAAGTACGTCGTGAATTCCGCAGGTGAACGCGCGAGCAGGTCGCGAAATGCCGATCCAGCTTTCATCTCCCCCATTCGACGTAATTTGGCGTCTTTGCTTGGTGCGTAGATGCCTTGCCAAGGCAGACGGCCATGCAAGAGATATAGTAGGACATTGCCCAATGCTTCAAGATCGTCTCGCCGTCCTTGTTCTGCTCCTCGCTCGTTAGCCCTGAGTAGGAATTGGAACGATGGTCACGAACCTCGTCCGTAATGCACATTGTAGCTCGAATACCGCATGGTCCCCAATGCAATGCGGCCTTCGCGGTACGGCATATGCGCTCCTGTGGATGGGTCGACATAAAGCTTCGCCAAACCAAAGTCGAATAAATAGACGATGTGGGACTTTTCCCCAATGCCCATTGCGAAATTTTCAGGCTTTATGTCCCGCAGGACAACTCCTCGTGAATGGGCGAATTCAATTCTGTTAAATTGAGAAAGATAAATATCAAATTGGCGCGGTGTTCGACACACTTACCATTTGGACTCCAAGCATAACTACGGTCTTCCAAGGAAGCTCACCCCTGGACAATCTTCGGAGCTGTTCGAGATTAGCACCTAGTTGCTCGAGAATCAAGACATGCGATCCTCGATCCAGACCGCTCCATTTACATGATGGTATGCCTGGGTGACCACGCAGGAGGCTATACACCATAGCTTCGTAACGCACTACGCATGGCATGTCTGGTGCGTCCTCTGATGCAGTCCCTGATTTGATTGCAACTCCCGAGCCGGTGAGAACATGGAAAGCACTCGACACGCGTCCTGTCAGGTCATGGCGCATCAGTGAGTGAGTGCAAGATAGAACAACCCGCACGTAAACATACCAGAGCTTCCCATCCCAAGCAAGTGCGTCGTCTGATACATGCCACGGATGCGAAATGTCCTTATGAAAGTCTCTAGAGGTAAAGGAGAATGGATATACGGTGTATTCTGTAATTGTCTTAGTAGAGCTTGTAATCCGTCAACCGCCAGGGTGGGATCACTTGTTCTGAGGTTGCGTCTCGATCCCAGCCCTTCATGACGCTGCACCAATACCGTTGGAAAACCCGCCATGCGTGCCGGTTCCATCACTCGGTAAGGATTGGATGTCACTACAAGAACCTGGTTTTTCTCGGCGATACCCCATGCTACGCAACAGCGCTCCAAGAGGCCAGAAAACATGGAGTGGTTTTGGCTAAAGAGTTCCGAAAGGGGCGCAGGCTCATCGTCAACATTGAGACCAGATGGAAGTTGGGGAAGTGAAAATGACTTCGCGTCTGGGATCGGAAGACCGAGCAGCGCATAACCCTGATCCAGGAGCGTCCCCACAGCTGCTTCTGCATCGGCATATAAACCAGGTTGCAGTATAGTCTCGACAGCTTCGCGAAATGCTACTTCGTTGAGCGGCAGTTCCAGAAAAATGCAGACATCCTCCAAAGCATGCCGCACGATGTCGATATAGGGTGTGTCAGCATGGTCTTTGTGTCTCATAAGTTCGCATTCGAGATACAATTCAGACAGTCGGCGTCTGTCGGAATGCAATGGCGATAGCAAACGCATAGCGTCGGTTATAGCACCGTCACGATCCTGATTGGGGATGAGCAACTGGAACGCCGTGTGAGGATTCGACTATTTAAACTCACAAGAATGGTACCAAAGAGGTCAAGAACGATAACTCTAGTCGACGAAGTGGGTACAGGAGGCATGTATCGTGGGACGACGTCGGGCGCGACATAGGGCTCATCATCCCAGTCCAGAGGACCTTCCGTCTGAATTATTATGGGGGGGTCTCCGTCAAAGGGAGTCTTTATCGACCAGAGTGCTAGAGCAGGTTCCTTGATATTTCCGTCGAAGGTCGGTACATTCCCACCAAACGAGGAATCCGGCAGAAGGAGGCTGCTTCGTCGAGCCTCGTGCGTACGCTCAAACTACGAAAGCAAATTTTGTGTTAGAAGTTGCGAGAAATATATTAGTGACCTACGTTTCTCAACTTCAAAGCCCAGTTCACAGCAACAGTCACACCATCCCATGAGTAATCTGATGCAAGTCTGGAATGTGTGAGGGTAACGAAGTGCGATAAGCAGAGGCAACTCACTGGTTGTACAGAAGTAAATCTTGATAAATGGATGGCGGTTGGACAGAAGACAGGTCAAAACTCTGAGGTTCCAGGTATTCGAAAACGTAACCGTATGTTTTGAGCATACCTTCCGTCTCCTACTCGATACTCCACGTATCCCAGCCGTCCCCCACGGGGCCACTTCCACCGGATGAGCGCTCATCGTTCGTGTATTTTTCTTGGAGAATTCTGTCATAGTCATGCAAGACCGAATGACAGAAGGTGAGGTAACTAAATTTTCCAAGTTGGTGCGGAAGGCGAGGAACAGTTCGGGCTCGCGAGCGCGCGGATTCCACATACTCGAGAAACCTCGGGAATGTATGGACATAGAGAGTACCCCCTTCTGGATGCAAGGGGGGTTCAACGTGCAACATCTTCCTTCCTTCGTCCAGTGAAGATCCTAGGGCGAAGTAGCATCCCTCATTCACTCCGCTTGGCTTCTGAGGTGAGATGGCAAGTAGAAAATCTCCTTCCTGCGAATGACCATGGAGTCCGATGTCGGTTTGCGAGATACGCAGCGCTAGAAAAGGGCGAGTTGCCAGGGAAATGGCTTGCTGTCTCCCATAGTAGGATGTCCAATTAGCTGAGCGCTGGGGCATAAGTTTTGCGACGACGAGAGAGTGAGGCATTTGACGAAATTTACAGCTGGGTTGCACAAATCGTTGAAGTGACAGTTTCAATTGAAGAGTTGATCTTATGTAATATAAGTTGTGTTTGGAATACCAAACGATGACATCGTTGACGAGCACAAGTTACTTTGCCTCGGTTTGACCTGGTCTGACACGAATTAATGTCATTCAGGAGAGGGGTTTATAAGGTTTATGCCAAAAAGGAAGGTCGGCATCAAGTCGGCGTTATCCATTCTACCACCAAAAAAGGAGAGAAGACTGGTAGACGAGCACGAGATTGGAGTCATTGGACATACACCACCCTAGAGACGCTGAAGGTGAATACCGATCCACATTTCCTTGCTGCAAATCCGATTGATAATCGTATGGCGATGTATATACAGCGTCCATTAAGAAAGCACCTAAATATTAGTCGACCACCTCACTCCTGATCACTGCTTGAGCTTGAACTCTCATGCTTCCGTTTGTTGTTCTTGGCAATCCTCTTGGCGCGTGCGAAGATGCCGACCTCCTTATCTCGAATAAAGTTCACGATAACCATCGGCCAGCTGGGATGTGATGGAAGAATGTCATAGAACTCTGGTGCCAGCGCTCGCAATGCTGGAAGACGCGTCCACGGTACGGAAGGGAAGTCATGATGCTCGTTGTGGTAGCCAACCTACGCGACATGATCAACGTAAGCGAAAAACGTTGCAAAACGACGTACGTTGTAAGCCAGGATGTTCAGGGGACCATAATAACTATAGGTCTCCTGGTTGAGACCATCCCATACATAATGCTCGGCAATGAAGTGACCTGCGCATGGATGCAGACTTCCAGCAAAGAAGCTCGAGAAGAGCAGGTATAGCAGAGGGCGTATGCCGAAGGTGCGCACCAGGACATAATCGAAGAGAAGCTGCACAATCACATTGTACAAGTGCCATCGGGTAGGCGTTTGCATTCTGACAAAGCCAGGTCTCAGGGCGTAAAAGAATATCTGGAACGTCCTAATATATGGTGAGTTAAGCTACATGCTAGACGCGACGCTGGACTCACGCAAAAAATGTCTTTCCAAGAACGTTATTGAGACAAAGCAGTTCAAAATTTGTGGGCAGGTCAGTGTCTATCCCATCCTCTCCAAGATGTTTGTGATGCTCTATATGGTATTTCTGGGCGCGTCCGCAGTCCCTGTCAGCGCACGTTTGCTCGCACGCACGTGTTACACACCTTGAACGCGGCGAAATAGGGTACACCGATGGGTAAGTTCGCGAAAACAGCCAGGGCTTTGTTTGCATTTATGCCCTTGAATGCTAGGTTATGCGTGATCTCGTGAATGGCGAGGAAAAGATTCTGGTTGGTGGTGCCGCCTACGGCATACGCGAGGAACAAGAAGCGGAAAGAGAGCGGATGGGAGTGTCGAAGATACATGGCAAGGTAGAGCTGCAGTGACACGACAGCCAGTACGACGTATTTTGTGAGAGGTTCGTAGCCCATGAGCTTCGTAACTTCAGGGTGCGCTTTCATGATCGCCATACGTCGCGAGCGGTGAGGTTCCTCTGTCATTATCCACAGAAATTCTTTGGGGTCTTGGGGTGGACCTGGGTAGGACACACCGTCATCCTGTTCAGAAGGAGAAACAACGGTCGTCCGACGTGGAGAACGTTTCCCTTCCGTGAAAGACTCAGCACCGCCGAAGTAGCTGAAGTCTAGCGAAAAATTAGCTGGTCCAAAGCGATTTAAAAACCTAAATTACCGATTTCTGACCCTGTTGCTTTGCAAACTGATTGTGCTACCATGGAGCCTGTCAAGGCTTCGTCGTCTACTGCGAACGAACGTGGTCAGTGCTCTAGCGAATACTTAATAGTGAAACGAAATTTCTTCGACCACAAATTTGGAATTTGATTAAAGCTAGCTCGGCATCCGCCGGTTGTGATCGGTAGCAATTGCAAGAAGACGAAGTTTAGAGGCGCGCTCCTTATTCTTGGCCAATAGCCCGGCTCATCTGATATCTAGCCTATAGACGTGCTAGGACGTGACTTTCACCAATATCGGCCCTTCTTTATCAAGGACTACCTTATGCATGTCGACCACGAACGCAAAAAGTGCTGTGTGAGACAATCAAGAAGGAACGACTGTCTTCCTGTCGGACTGGAGGATACTAGTGTGAGATTGTCCCACACAACACTTTTTGCGTGTTACCCATTTAAAGACGGCGAGGGGTAGCTTTAAAGCCGCGCTCACTATTCTTGGCCAACGGGTTATGGCCTGATATTAAATATCCAACCACACTCGCTGACTTGGCACCACAACAAGAATGTACTGCTGACACCCAACATATATTTACGAACGTGGAACGAACTTTACAGACAAGTGCCACACTGCGTGAGCATATTTCCTTGAATGCGACCAAGATTTATTTATGTGCTCGGTGGTTTGTAAGTACACGCTCACGCCGGCGACGAACGAGCAAGTATATGCAACTCCTTCGACTTCAAAATTTGGAGAAAATTTTGTCTAATCATTCTTCTTACTGGTTTGTTGTACGCCCCGAAGCATTCATTTTGTTCTAATGACACTTGAAAACTAGCTCCACGTCGGACCGTCTGCGCCCGCACATTTCTCGCTATTTGCCCTTGTCATCCCAATTCGAATGTGGTCGATGGCACTGCAGCACTGGATCCACTTGGGCTCAATGAATTAGCTTGATCAACGAGCCAAAGTCCTGCTAGAGGTACTGAATGCGTAACCTTGAAGCGGCTAGGACTGCACAGGCGCCACTTGAGTGGTCGAGTACTTCTCTGAGGTCCTGAAAACAGCCATCTTCCAGCGATGGCATCAGGAGCAAACAGACTTCCACCAGCCGGTACGCCCTTGATAGCGCTACTGAGATTGAGTGCACGAACTTCAGCGTCGGGGAGAGATCTCTACTCATAGTTCGCCAAAAGGAGTCTTGTACGACCTGTATCTACGTCACAAGTTACATAAATAAGTACCACGACAAAATCTGGAATAAATTATCTTGCTCTCTGCACACTACCTGACCATCGCAGAACAATCATATCGGGCATCCCCTGCTACACACTACTGCTAGTTGACACATGGACGCGCTCCTGAAAAGCAATTGAAGTCATAGCGGATGCTGTATCAGAGTTGGCTACAAGCTTAGCGTGGTATTCTCGAACACCGATGATCAGGCGTGGTCCCAGCACAAGCAACTGCACGAAGTGGAATATCTGAGAGAGACCAAGATAAATCTGAGTGTCCAGGGAATATAGGTCCTATAGAAATGACGAATCATGTTGCATGTAGAGGTCACAGATCAGCATACCGCTGAGAGCGTCGGAGTGAGTAAACCGATCCGGAGGCAAGAGAAAGCTAAAAAAAAAATAGCACGTGCAAAACTTCAGCGGAACAAAGGAACCACATTCACATCATGAGCTCACCTTGCAAAGTAATTCATGGGAATTTTCATCAATACCGTGAAACAGTCCCCAATAGTACCTCTTGTTGAGTGTCGTCGCAGTTCACGGAAGTAATCCAGACCGGGACACAGTGCAACTTGAAAGACCTCCCATACAGTGGCAAGTATCCAAGTCATGGACATCAAAAGTAGGATATCTCCCGTATAGCCATCCTGGCACGGATATGTGCCGGAGAGAATCAATTCCTCTGGTACTTGTCAATTAGCCTGATGCACTTAAACATTTCATACATAATTAAAACTTACCCCCTGAAATCTGCATCATCTGTATTGCGAGCGTTACTGCGTTGGCGATTCCGATGGCCAGAAAGATGACCACACGAAATATCAGCACCTTTCTGGATCGCTGATACATGGCATGTAACCGAGTGATCATGATGACTTGCATGATATTTCAGTGAGTCAATATCACGGAGGTGTATAGCTCACCGCTAAGTATTACATCTACAACCTCAGCCGTCCAATTAACTGCGTCGAATATAACAAGGTCTAACAAATCCAGCAACATCATTGGTTATCAGCTTCGGATCACAGGCTCGAAACAAATTAACAACTGTGGGAGTCGTTATATTGAACCACCGAGTTATTCAAGAATTTCACTCACCCTTATATGCTAGTTCAGTTGTTGGATGGAACGGAAGGCATCGGCGTGGAATACTCACTGCATCTGTCATCGAAATTGTTGGAAGACTGACTGTATGCCGCCCAAGTGTATGAGAGGAGACACACCCAACATGGCAATTCTGATCGTCAGAGATGGCTGATGAGCGCAACATCAATAGCTTAGACGTCTAAACATACACAGCATATCCTATTCCAACATATCGTACCTAGGATATGTTCACGCCAGTACAACTTGCTAGCCACACTTAAAAATACAAGCTACATACAATGAGATACAGAATGGTCATCTGAGACCAGCGTTGCCTCTGCCGCAAGTTAGTTATTATATTATCACATCGTCCTTTTGATGTGGGAGTCCGCTCACCCAGATCAGTTCAACCTATAACACAATTCTAGCGAGTTGGTGTAATGGTGTCAACCTACCTCTTGTCCGAACGTAAGTCCTAGAAATACCATAATATCAGTGGTCTTTTCATACTCGATCTTGCTCACCCCAATCGTACATTACCTCAGCACAGAAGGCAACTGCAAAACAATCGAATCATCACGGTCATCATACAGCTGACATTTTACGAACCTACAAAATAGCTGCTAATAAGATTTGCATTGATGAGCGGGGAAACTTGGTGGACGTATGACAATCGCATTCGTGCTTGATATACCACCATCCAGCGCCTACATCGCCAAAGCGAGATTTGAGGGATGATATCTGATCAAAGTAAGTGTTTCAGCTGTGCATCCAGGGATACCAATGGGATCAAGGTAAAAGATTAGGACAAATGCGGCCAAAAGTACATGCATGCGTCGTATCCAATTCCCTGTCATAAAACACGATCGACGTGTGTAGCCACGAGAGCAGTCGTACAAAGAGAAGAGGAAGGGGTTGTTGTACAAAGAAAAAACGATCAAGTGATGTGGACAAGAATGGAGGCAGTAGGAACAAAGCGACGATGAAGGGGCAGTGATGGTACACGCTTGAATGCGGAGTTGATGAATGTGTGATGACTCTAGCTAGGTTGGTGGTTCAGAACGTTCATAAATAAGCAACGACAGGACGGGATGGATGCACTGGTGAATAGATAGATCAAGGTCGCCGACGAGCTTGAGGAGCGAATAGCTGGTTGAGAGAGGGAGAATTTCTTCCATGCATAGAAAACCCGTCCCAAGGAGACGCAGGGACATCGGCGATATTGATGGGATCAAGAACCGAAAAATAGCGAGTGACCATGACCGCTTAAGCGCTTACATACATTGATACAAGTTGAAGCCAAGATGTTGGGCAGAGTCTGGGGTCTTTTCGTTGACGTGAGGGTATCCGGACTTTGTTCGCTCAGGGTTTGAAGTCGTTCGAAGGAACCGAGAAACGTCCAAATGATAACAGGGTACCAGACACCGCGAGCCGTTATCTAGGAGCATATCTCGTAAGTGTATCCCCAGTATTCAATTTGCTTGAAATCAGGGAGTGACGATAGAAAGCCAGGCCCGCCCTCGAATAGGGCTATGTCCGACACTGTCCGACTGTCCGACATAGGGTCTTCGACTCCAAAGGAAAAACCCGGAATCCATGACGTCCGACTCCCTCCTCAGTGAACGTAAGCTTCTGGAGATCTATCTTATGCTGTTCATACTTGGCCAGACGTGTGCAACGCCGTCGTGTACCATCATTGCGCTTTGCAACCCTTCTCATGCTGGAGCGTGAGACATAGGATGTGGTGGTATTTGGATGTATTTGGTGGGTGGCGTCGTGCCGGCCACTGTCACGCTGTGGATCCTGTGATCCTATCAATGAGTCATCGGACGCTAAGCTTCGTCGGGCAGCAACACTGTATGTTTCCCTAGTATTCATTCTTAGGTCTTGTGGTATTCCAATTGGAGATGGAGTGTAGTCATTGGCAGGGTCAACGACTCACTGCATGAATTCCCCGCCTCCCCTGCAGGTTTTTTTGCTGCACTCACGCGAACTATGCTGTCCACGAGCCTGCCTTTTGACAGACATGAACTTTGTTGCTACAAGGTATGGTACGATTTATATTCAACTAGCCAACAAGGCCAATCTTACCAATTTGTGTCAATGGTATAGGTTCGAACGGATCTGAACATATTGTCTCGCCGTCCGAAGTACAATCCTCGCGCCCATCTCGGTGGAGTTTCAAAATTTCGTAGACATTTCGCTGACTGCGCCCAGAGAGTTGAGCTATTTCAGCACCCACTGTGGTGGGTATAAATATATATACAAACACGTTGTGTCCAAATCAAGGACTGAATGTTTCTATGCAATGCACTGTAACGGACGACAAAGTGAGGCACCTGGGACACGCGGCAAGTACTATATATTTCTTTCATTTCAGCGTAGCTGGCTGTGTCGACCATCAACATTCTTATTTCCTCTTAATTGCAGGACTTATACTTTGAAAGCCGTGGTGACTAACTCGGACTTTCTGGAGCTGAAAATGCCTCAAAGTCCTTCCCTCGGAACATCTTACAAAGACTGGAACATAATCACTTGACACGTAATGTATGTATGGAAAGGTGACTGTATGGACTTGGATAGTTATCCCTTCCTATTATTAAATCGGCTTCATCTCCCACTAACCGGGCATCCGGAATTCCGTGGTAAGACAGCAGTTCTAGATGCTTTCAATCTACAATGTAAATCTCGATAACTCATCCAGGTCTTTTGGATTCGGGGGTCTTCCTCGGTCAGCGGCTATCTGAAACGGAGACAACGATGGGCTTCTATTAGTCATGTCACCCTATCGGCCATATTGTCCGACATACTATAGTTGGTGGAGTCTTTCCATCCAACATGTTCTTATCATCGGCACTGGCAAAAAAATGTTCTCTTTCCGGCGCTCGCGTTATCCATGAACCATCTATAAAATGATACACTGTCATATAATCTTCAACACGTGCATCCGACATTTTACATCCATGGCAGAAAGCCAGAGTACGAACTTGTCACCTATAGAGGTCCGGAATGTGGAATTTCATACTGATACCCAGACGCGCTCCCCCAGTTCAATATCGTCAAATGAACCCATTAAGCTCGACATGGAGCATGCAGTGGTTGAGAATGATCCTCGAATTTGGTCAAACACGAAGAAGGTGAGTCTTTCTATCTTAATGTGTAAGTAGAAATTGATTGAACACAATTACAGACCGCTATATTGTTCATTATATCTGGAGCCTCGATGTTTGCGGGTTTGGCGGGGAACATACAAAACCGTAGGTTGCGTCCGTGAACCCATTGTATCCAATATCGGTTGAACAGCCAGGGAACAGCTGCCAATGCTCAAATCCAACAACAGCTACACGCAAGCAGCGGAGATATCAGCCTGAGTTTGTCTCTGTTCATTCTCGTCCAAGGCATGTTCCCTGTCATTTGGAGTGCGATTAGCGAGATAAAGGGCCGCAAGGTTTGTACTTATGGCTACCTTCAGAGCGTCGTTTGTTCATATGACCGAGCACAGCTCGTGTACCTTCTATCCATTGCACTTTTTATAATTGGATCTGCAATCGTGGCGGTGTCAAGAACTATTGGTTTGGTGATTGGCATGCGAATCGTGCAAGCCGCAGGGTAGGACAGTTCTTCAATCCCTCGTGTCCATGCTCACTTGGAGTAGGTCAAGCGCAGTTTTTGCTATCGGAGCTGCCACTCTGGCCGATATATACGAGTCTCATCAACGAGGTACAATGATGGGTGTCTACTATTCTGCACCTCTCCTCGGTCCCTCGTTAGGACCAATCTTTGGTGGTGCACTCACACAGGGCTTCAGCTGGCGGGCGGTTTTCTGGTTCTTAGTCATCTGGGGAGGGATAATCTTTTTGGCGTTCCTTTTCTTGTTCAAGGATACCTTCAGGAAGGAGAGGAGTGTGACTTACCAGAACGTATTGAATTCCAGACTCCGAGAGCAGCAGTCGTCGGAAGCAAAGGACGAGTCGCGACATATTTCGAAGTTAGAAGTGGGTGGAGAAAACCAGACGACTTCGAAAGATATCGAAGCACAGCGGACGGTTATACCAGTACCAGCCATCAAAGACATAAAACTGTCCATGGCTGATGTCAACCCTTTCCCTGCATACTTCTCGATCGTCAGCCGCAAGAATAATCTTGCTGTCTTGATAGCATCAGGTGCGTGCCCTCATTTCTTGCCGAAACCTATTTTTATGCCCTCTTGTGCCAGGCTTAACCTTTGCGTTTGGCTTTAGTATTCCATATACATGTGCAAGAACATTGTCGATGTATTATGATTATGATGCATTGAAGACCGGTCTTGTTCTGCTTTCCTATGGCGTTGGTGGGTGAATTACAAACAAATTGGGAATATGTCTGACGCATGTACTTATCCCAGGATGTGTGGCCGGCAGCATATTGGGTGGTCGTTGGTCCGATCGGACACTTGCTCGGCTGAAGGCCGCAAACGGAGGGGTCAGCTTTCCAGAGGTGAACATTGAACCACCAACTCTAGCTCAGCATGTGGCTGATGCAAATTCATGCAGATGCGCCTCGAGAGCACGAAAATCGCCATGTTGTGGTTACCCCCATCTGTGATTGGATACGCCTGGGTGTGCCAAGAACGAGTCAATATTGCCGCCGTGTGTGTGATGCTGTTTCTCGCAGGATTTCTATCCATGTACGTTCATTCCGTTTTATATTGTATTTTGCTCTCATCTACGATAGATGGATCTACACAAGCACACTAGCATACATTGTCGACGCAAACACTGGTCGCTCATCAATGGCAGTCGCAGCAAATAGTTCTTTCCGTGGTCTGTTTGCTTTTGTCGCCGCTGAGATTGCGGTTCCTTTACAAGTGAGTCAAGGTCATAGCAGCTCGCAGAAGTCCAGATCTGAGGTTAGTGTAGGACACGATTGGCGACGGTGGTCTGTATACTCTCTGGGCATGTCTGATGGTCGTTATTGAGGGCATAATTCTGCTGGTATTGTACAAAGGCAGGGACTGGAGAGAAGCCAGTGTTGAGCGGGAGAAGCAGAAACTGGATGCCCAGTAAGGAGTGGACGATCATAGGTCCGATCAACGCTGATTGAATTTTGAGGGGCAATAAATAACGTAGCCATAGAAAGGCCAGAATATGGCCGTCGTAAATATCAGTAGGTACCAGTATATAGAGAGAAAAGGTGTATTCAAGTTGCCGCCGAGCATTAATTAATCCACAGTAACTGGAGATACTGTTCCATGGCCAGCTCGGGGTTTCAATGCGTTCGGAAGGTTGTCATTCCTCCCTCTAAATGTGCAAAATACCTTACACGCCTGGAGACTTGGTCCGAGGATAGGCTCGTCACCCGTGCGGACTGTGAATCTGTTATTGGCTGTCTCCAACATTGTTGTCTTGTCCTTCGTGAAGGTCGTGCCTTCTTATCCTCTTTCTATCGCCTTCTAGCTTCATTCAAGTCATCATCTTCACCTCAACTCAAACACCGCATTCCATCCAGAGTTTTATCGGATGTCGTCTGGTGGCGTTCCCAGCTCAGCGCAGCCGAATGTGCTCGGGTTCTCCATCCCGTGCCACCTCCCCTTCCTTTACAGGTCTTTGTGAATGCTTCGACTTCCTTTGGCATTGGCTTCTTAGTCGATGGCTGCTGGCTCGGTTGGCGCTTGCTCCCAGGGTGGAAGTCAGATGGACGCGACATCGGGTGGGCAGAAATGGTGGCCGTTGACCTTGGTCTTCGCGCTCTTATTCATTCCGGCCTTCGCGATGCCCATATCCGCTTCTGCTCCGACAATCAGGGAGTTGTAGGTGCCATCAGAGCCGGTCGCTCTCGTAGCCCTGCGCAGAATGATATTCTACGCAGTCTGTCGGCATTCACTCGTGACCATGGTGTATGGTTTTCTGTCGAGTGGATAAAATCGGCAGATAACTTATCAGACGGTATCTCGAGGGGTGTCTTTCCTCACCCCAAATCGCGTTTTAGGCACCATCCGCCCGCTCCTGCTTATCTTAGGCCCTTTGTAAAGCTCGTTTAGGGTGCTTTGCATGTCGTGTTATGGCCCTCCTTCAGCGCTGTTATTTTCATGTTTCTTGCAGCTCAATTCTTGTAACACTTCGTATTTCTCATCGCTCTCGTATCTATCATGGCACTCGTATTTCGCCCTGTACTCATGTCTTGTCGCATCGCTCGGCCTTTGGGTCCTTGTATTTGAATGAAAATTGTAACATGCAATATTTCAATTCTCTCTTTCAGGGCCTCCCGTTCACTCAGCCGCACCAGAGCCCGAAGAGATGTTGAACATGCTGGACCGTCATATTTAAAGAAAGTCTGACTGAGAAGGTTATTTCCGAAGCTCACCAGCCTATCATGATGGACCCGCGATCTTACTACAACTGACGACCAGAATTCAACATAGATAGGAGGGTAGAATCAGTTCTGTCATTCGGAAAGCTGAGGAGCTACTAGTACCAAGCAGGAGAAACCTGTACTCGGAAGATAGGGGAGAAATGACATCATACCTCAATAAATGCCGAGAAAAGTAACTGATGTCTGATCTCGAACCCGTCTTCCCAAACCCACATGCTACCTCTTAGTAGTCACTGTTCACTATTATTATGATTCCGCCTCAGCATTGACATAAAACAGGAGCACATGCAAAACGCACACATCAAAACGATATGGCTCGGTCTGTCACTTTCAATTCAGCTTTCAAGTCATCCTCGCATTGGAAGAGCCAACGACCAAAGGAGTGTTCGTCAACGCGGCTTCAGCGAGGATAGGAGGTTACATCATTTTCCTGACTGTCAGACTCACTCTGTCCTTAGCTTTTGTGCATTCTTCTGGCCTCTGGCCCCATTAACATTTTTCGTTTGATGGTGAATCCCAACAGTTGCAGTCTATCGAGGGTCTAGGTTGGCACATACACACCTCGGGGATATATCTTATGTTTTTGAGACGACCCTCGCGAGGAGAGAAGGTGAATTCCTTTTCATGGGCAAACTATCACATACAAGCGCAGAAGCAGCATCCTGCGGGGGTCATCCTGCTCTTTTCGATAGCATGCGACGATGTATTATGGCGTCTCGGGGGAAAAGACTGCGAGGAAGATGGAGTCATTGAGAGTCAATGGAGAGTCGAGACGAACCTACATTGGTGTGACAGCGTGACGGAGTAGGTGACGTCGTCATTATAAACTCAACCGCAATAAACAAGCGTGCGTAAATCAAACTTGACTCGGAACTTCGGAAGCTTCGAGGTCCTGGTCTTCGAGGTTCACTCCGACGCGATTCAAAGTTCAGGTATGGGATTTGTTGTAGGCACAAATTGATGGAATTGAACTAGTAGTGACAGGACTGGAGATTAGTTTTCGGGCGAAAGCGCGCAGCGCTTTCCGGCCCCGAGGAAAGAGACCTAGACTGAGAAAGGTTGAGCTTGCGATTCCCAAGTGTTAGGAGTCCGACGACGCATCGAGCGAAACTCGGATCCCCAACTTGTAGGAGAAGGGCGACGTACTCACTCGTAAGTGTCTTGGCCCTGGTTCTTTTAACGGACTGGGGGAATGGTATAACGAAGGAATTGGTCATGTAGAGTGGGAGTTGCTTGCATGTATGGTGCCATGATCTGCGCGTGTTTCCGCAGGTATGCGAGAAATGCGTCACTTGCCCACCGGCCCTTGATTTTTACCACGTCGAATGGGATGTTCCGCAGGAGATATTCCAAGGTTGAACCGATACGAATGCTGTGGCCTTGCACTGGTGCGTGGCCGGCAGCTTTGGTTGCAGCAGCTAACCTGCTCAAAAACTTGGTTTTTGTCAGTGGCCGGTGCGTGTTGTCCTTGTGGCGATACGCGAATAGTGCGAAGTTCTGTGGGGGTTTGTTGACTTGCAGATGGTTCAGGAAAGCTGCTTCTGGGTCGGATAGACCTGCCTGTCTGGCCCAATGAACGTCTTCGCCTCCCGTCGCAGTTTTCGTGCGCGGTAGGCTGAAATTCTTGGTTACGAGGTTCTGTCGATCCTGCAAGTCCTTGACACCACCGAGTGTGATGTGTAGCTTGGGGTCGAAAGCGTTCAGGCGAGGGACGGTGAATTCCCCGACTCTAGCGGTAGCGTAGAATATGGTTGTTAAACATGCAAATACCGATGCGTCTAATGGGTCGTTGAGGTTTAGCTTTCCCCGGATGGCAATGATTAGGTCGACGGTGTATGGTTCCCGTTTGTCGCGCTTTGCGGAAGCAGGCGTGAGTGACATTGCCGCCTTCAACATGGCGTCTATCGCCGCATCGTTCAGCGACCAGGTCGCGCCGTGTATAATGTGCCATGCTCGAACTCCGTTCACGTAGTTAGATACTGTTTTCCCTGAATAATGGCCAACCATGCATGCAATAAAGGCTTCTATTAGTATGTTGCTTGCTGGTGCCCTCTGATTTTCCGGGATGATTTTGCTGTCGCAAAAGACATGGAAAACCAGTAGACCTGAACCGTACGTTTCGCGCGTGCTTTCTGAGTAAGCGTGCACTAAGACGCCTCGGATCCGATTGATATCTTCAGTAGTTAGAGGAACGAACTTTCCTTGTGCATCTTTCGCGGACCGCGAGGGTCGTTGGTTCCCACAAGTAGAGTCTATCCTTTGCAGGACAGTGCGGGCGAAGATGGGAAGGTATCGGAGTCAAGTTAGTGCTATATGTAGGTCTCCGACGCTTGGAAGAGCTTCTCTCCTTCAAGCTCGAACTGACGGTTAACGTAGTTGCGTCGTTGGAGCTCTGATCTACTGTGGGTTTGGCCCACTGGGTGAATTGATTTCCTGGGGGCAGAACACCTCAGGCATTACTTTTCGGAACCAATAACGGTCTTTGAGACCCGGTTCCTATGTTGTGGGAAAGTAGTCTGTGAGACCCACCCTCCCGCCTTCTAATAATAACACACCCTCCTAGGATGTACCTGCGCCTCCAGAAACCCCTCGTGCACCTCCAGAAAACCCTCGTGCACCTCCAGAAAACCTCTCGTGCACCTCCAGAAAACCTCTCGTGCACCTCCAGAAAACCTCTCGTGCACCTCCAGTAATCTCTTATGCACTGAGCTTGGGAGCCTTGCTCCTCCCCGATTCACGCTGTAAGTTCTTCTCTTCTTTCCCTCACCATGTCTTCCTTGACGCCACGTCGCACTCGCAAAGCTCAACTCGCATCTTCTGGCCTAGGATCTCACTTTGTAAGCCCAAGGAAGGCTCGAGACAAACGGAAAACTCAAACATATGTTGAGCTTCCTGGCGCAGAGACTAAGCGCCGCCGACTTTTGGACGCAATGGAACGACTTTTGAAGCCGCAACACTGAGGAATCACACCCACAGTTGTTGGCACAAGCACCACCATCTGATACTGTGACTACGGAACACATGGATACTGACAATCTTGTTGTCAGCGAATTTCACTCTGATGAACAGCCATCTCTTGAGATCTCAGTATCGCCTGTCAAACGGCGGATTGTGCCCGACAAATCCACCAATTCACTCTACAAAAACTGGATTGCACTCATACCAACCCTTGTTGATCCAGTACTCCAGTACTTCAGACGAACGCAGGGCAAAGCACTGGAAAATATACATCCAGTCATATCTGCATGTGGGAAGCCTTCGTGTACACCGAAACGGACGACAATGATGTGTTTATTCTTCGACCGTGAGCCCATGTCTTGCAGTAATCAAAATTTTGCTGACATCTACATAGGGTTCACATCTATAGATGTACTAAGTTGTACCTGCTCCACTCTCCAGCAAGTCCTCGTTCACCATGGTCTATTTCCGACCTGCGCCTTCACAGCCTCGAATGGCTGTATCTGTTGACCTGCTCTCATTCTACCGCGCATTGTTTGAGCGCTCATGTGACGCGATTAACGCTCTCGCATCAGCGCTCAAAAATCACTACTCCCGGCGGGGTTACCAGATGACTGACGCCCAGGTAACAATCACTTACATAACTAGGTCACTACTGATTCATCCCAGGGCGAAGTTATACAGGACCCATTCCGACGAGGCCTCGGCTATGCCGTGCAATGGTACGACATCCTGCAAGTTGAAGTTGAGTGCCAAGTTGAGACGGTCGTTCAATAACACCGTGATCGTATAGCAGAGTTTCAAGCATCCTCTCGAGTCTCGAATTCACCTTTGCCCACTCAATGCGCACCCCTTCTAGTGCAACGGTGTCCTGCTTGCTTTGCAGGTATTCTTCATGGTAGATCTACAGATGAGGGAGGTGACATTCATGTCGCAATGGACGGTAATTTCCATCACCGTCATCGACGTGCTGCTGGAGACTGTCCAAAGTTCTATGACCCTACTTATTTTCTCCCGAAAACCTTTGTTGACACGATTGGGCGCCATATTGACACTCAACGTAAGCGACCAGTGAGGTCTCACGTTCCCCTTGTCCCTGATGAAGCCGTTGACCAATGCGAGAATGCTTACGAGGCTGCTGACGGCAAAAAACAGAAAGCGGCAATGGATAGCTTCGACGACACTGGAATCATGGCCCTTATCTGTCGTCACGACATCCCTTTATTTTTTGCCAACATAGACTCACCTGGAGAACAGCAAAAGTATTCGGTAGCCTTACTTCAGCACTTCTTTTCACTTCTCCCCCCCGAAGCTACTGTCGTAGCTCTTTATGATGTCGGCTGTGTTTTGGCACGAACACTCTCCAAGGTACGTTATGATCCTGGACTGAAACAATTGCTTACACCATTTACAGCATGAAATTCTTCCCAAAAGCATCACCTCACGCCTTCGATTTGCAACCACTGCCATGCACGCATATGGGCACGAGTGGGCTTGCCAGCTCGTATATAACCCACGAATATGTGTGGGTCTTGGCTTATCTGATGGTGAAGGGACCGAACGCCTCTGGTCTCGCTTAGTTCGATTGATAGGTGTTGAGCGCACTTCTAGTGTATGTACTCTATTATTTTCATTTAAAACTAATGAATTTAAAACACTGCTTAGCGCCAACGCCGTTTATGGTTGATTGATCGGCAAGCAGTGGCTATAGCTTCGGAGATGCGAACTGATCTAGGCGACTGGATCAAACGACGCCTCAGACGGGGCATCAAGGGGCAAGGTTCAGCAGCCCAAGACGCACTAGATCAATGTGAGGTCTCCATTGAAGAATTGCAAGCCGAGTGGTCGCAGCAAAGGCAATCTCAGTTATCTATCCGTGCTCGTAAGTTTTATACATTTTTAAATGACGTGGCTATTGCTCAATGATATCACAAGATGCACCCGCCCGCCTCAAGAAGGAGTTGGACACAGTCTTAGCTCTCCAGGCAGATCTGGACGCCTCAGACAAAGCATTGCAAACCACCAGGACGATGTTGGAGAAAGATATGGCTTCAGATGATACACTAGAGGCTCTCGAAAGTCTAGAGAGGGGACACGATCGCCTGATGAACAAGGTCGAGGCTCTTTACTCCTCATTGAACGTTCATGACAGATTTCCTGAGCTTCATGGCATCAATCTCGAATTTGTTCGCATCCTTCTCATGGCACGCGATCTCAAAATGAACGTTCGTAAACGTGTGATTGCGAGTTTCTTTGAGTGGGATAAATTAGATCGAGCAGTCGGTGGCGCTCAGCAAGCGTTAGGTAAGTTCATGCCGATTCATTTGTGAATGATTTATTAGATTCTTTTAGGCACCAAGCTGCATCAACAGACACGTAAAGCAATTTCCAAGCGTCAGCCCCGCACTAATGACCGCTATCAGGAAATTTAACTCCTACTGTGAGCGGCTTGATTCATTGTATGATACATCCTGGGGGATTCCACTGCCCGCACCCCTTCCCACCAAACTTGCAGAACTACGTTCTGACCCAGGACTGATGGAGGATGTGTGGATTACACCGTCTCATGGAGAGGTTCCGCGGTGGTTAGACGACACATCTACAAGAGATGGCATTCGTGCACTTCTCAAGCGTGATCGGTGTCGAGAGGAGCAGGTTCGGCTAGGTGTTGAGGCCGATAACCTGTGCCGCTTCTTCGGAAATGAGTTGGGGGCACTTGAACTTGCCCTTCGGTCGCCAAACAGTGAGCTAACCTTTCTTATTAACTTCCATATCTCATATACCCTTAGGTGAACCATTCGCAGTTCTATTGCAACAACGGCATGCCAATTTTATCTGCCTTCAAACACGATGGTCAAATTGCTTGGCTTCTTCGGTACGCTTTACTAATGAAGTCAGCAAGGCAGTAGCCATTGCGACCACCCTCTCGGGAGGCTCACCAAACATGGCACTTCATTGGATTAATGCCAGCATGCTGGTAGTGTCTGATTCTGAAGGTTGTGATGAACTCCCTATCGTCGATCCTGACCATTGCCCCCAAGTCGACTCTGAACAAGCAGCTCTGGCCGATGTCCTGGAGGGTGAGATGGGGGCAATTGAGTTAGATGACGATGACTCAACAAATTACGGGCGCGATGCTAATGCTGTGATTTGCTGGAACCTTCCTGAGGTACGGTTATTTTTATTGTTAGGAGTTGACGATGACGTGTCATAGAATCTCCTTGTGGATGACTTCTGCGTCCCATCGCAAGAGCCAGGTGTCCTCGACCCTGCTAAAATTTTCGCGCGAATACGACCTTCGCATGACGGAATCCCTCGTCTAGAGTTTGATCCAAAAGAAATCGGTATACTCAGTTCTCCTACTGCATGCCTCAATGATACATGCATTAACAACTGCGCCATTCTCCTGTGGTGCTCTCAACTGAACACCTCCGCTGCACGGTGTGCGATACTCTCCACTCACGATCTTCCCCACATTCGTTACAATGCCCCAGACGACAACATCTGGCGCCATACAATGTGGATTCGTTATTGGGAAAAAGACATATGGGTTCTTCCGATTCATCGTCCATCAGGGATTGGACACTGGGTGATGTGCGTCATCCAGTTGTCGACCAAAGAACTTTACCTGTTTGACAGCATGGGCGACAGGACCCCTTGGCAAAGTGACGTCAAAGTGAGATTAATTTTTTAAGAGTTCTTTTGTCTGACCTGACTGATTGACACATGATATTGAAAGGATATAATGAGACTGATTGCTCGGTTCCTTGCAGTTGCGCGTCAACACGGCCATCATGTTCATATTGATCTTGCAGGGTGGGTGGCTCGACCACTGAATGTGAGTTTCATGCTTTGCTTTCTTGACTAGTCTGACATCGTGTATTATTTAGACCAAACGTCTTCAGAATAACGACTTCGATTGTGGCGTGTGGGTATTGGCTGCAATATTCGCTGTTATACGTGGCAGCCGTGTTACAGGCCTACATGAGCAGGACATGGGCCATCTGCGACGCTATGTGCGGAGTATGGTGCTTGCATTACCAGCTCTCTCGAGTTACAGTAATACAAGGTCTACGTATAAGGATTCTTCCCAGTAATTAGCATATTGTCCTCCCTCTGATAATTCAATATCCTTCGTGCTACCCATTGGCGATAGCATTCGGCCATGACCTTGTGTCTTGTGCATGCCTGCAAGCTGCTAACACGAGCATTGAGCTCATCCCAACCTGTAAGTAACCACTGATGTGCTTCTCGGATCTCTTTCAGAAGCTCAGCGATTTCACCCATGTTATATATGGCTGCGTGACGAGCATGTGATTCCCTTTCTGCGCGCAAGTGCCGGCCATGCATCACGTCGCAGAGGTTTTGCGTGAAATGGTCTTCCTCTGGTGAATCAGGTGGAGCTGGAAGGTCGTAAGGAGGGGCTTTGTTCCACTGCAAGAGATCGGATTGATCAATCAAGTCAGATCCAGTGAGAGATTGGTGAAACAGATAGGAATCGGGAAGGGAGAGGGTTGAATATTGGATTAGGGAAGACGCCTGAAGAGCATGCAGATCCCCAGATCTGATACGAGGCCCACGTCGACCATGATGCTTGGCATAGGCACGAGCGTTTTGAGCTTGTCGAACGAGTTTACCTCTGTAAAACATATGATTAACAAGAATAAATGATTGCAAAATACTTACCGTTCTGACCGAGCATACAATGTCTTGTGTTGCCGTGCAGCTGCTGATTTCTCTTCAAATGTGAAGTACTTAGCTTTGCGACCCATACTAGAGACCGGGCAATGTGAATGGTCAAAAGTGTGTTAAGACCATAGTTGGTCTTAAGTTCATACTGCGATACTGTCCTCTACCCGTCAAAATGCAATACAGCCATGAAACATGATGTTCTTGCCTTGATTTTGTATTAGCATGATGGGGTGCCCACATGGCAGTCGATGATGCTACTGTTGAGACAGTTGGCTGGCAGTCAATCCCTCTACATTTGTGTTTTCAATTCAGTGCGATATGTATTTTCAATCTCATTGGCTCACCAATGTCATGTCCACCCCACAGGAGGCTCGGACAAGCCTCCCACTAGTAGCCTCCATGGAGCCTCCCACTACTAGTAGTAGCCTCCATGGAGCCTCATGGGGCTGAGCGCTGACTTCAGCTTACATAATAACCCTCCAGCCTGCTTTTCGGCGCTAGTACCCTTGAACTTCGAAGCTACTGTATTATTCCGAAAATTTCCATGGCTTCTTCTTATCGATTAACAGTCTCAACTATCGTACCTTGTCTGTATCCTGCTGCAGAATGACTGCAATCATATCTCAATCCTCACACTTTGTTGATGTTGGCACGCAAACAGACACGCACTTCTGTACCATCAGTCACCTCGTGAGTCCTTAGTCAGTTTAATATTCAGATGCTGCTGATTACTGATTGCTTCTAGCTTGAGCTTGTGGACAAGGCTGTGTCGACAGAGGAGGACCCAGGAGTTAGTAGTCTCCAAGTTGACGCTGGGTGGAAGAGCCTCGATGGCATTCCTTGTATCATGGGTGGCATAACGGCCCTTGTTGGTAAGGCATATTGCCTTCCATTTTTAATACCAATCCTGACTTTATTTCAGCATCTGTTGGTGGCACCTTGCGTGGGCGTACCTCGAACGACTTCCCTTGGAAAACTCTACCCAAGGAGCTAGCTCGGCTCGGATGTCGCCTCGTCAACTACCCTGATGATACTTTGATGCCCGGCGAGATTCGACCTACACTCATTCGGAGCAAAGGCATACATGATCTGACCCTTCCTCATCGGGTTAATCTTGTCAATGCACTCAAGATGGGCACCCTCACTATACAAGCCATGACAAATGATACTGCTCGCAAACGCCTTACAATGTCCTGGGACCCAGTCATTATCGCAGAGGCACCCTCATATCGATCAAACCACTCCCGCGCGCGACGTGTGTTTGCTAATGGTGACATTGACTTCAGGGGGCCTCGCCGTCTTTGCCTCTCCCCCTTCTACCACCTTCCACTCGTCCCTCTACACCTTCCAATCGTCCCTCTACACCTCCTAGTCGTCTTTCTACATCTGCTGCTCGTCCTCCAGCATGTGCTGCGCGTCCTCACACACCTGCTGTGCGTCCTCATGCACCTGCTGCTCGTCCCTCCTGCACCTGCTGCTCGTCCTGCTATACACCCTACTCGTCGTACTCAGGTTTTTGTAGAGATATCACGCCCACCACCCCGGCCAGCTTCTAGGGCAATACCATCATCCACTGCTCGCACCATATCACGCCCGCTACTCCGGTCAGCTTCCAGAGCAGTTTCTAATCACACCAAACCTTATCCCGCCCATCACTTCTGTCAAGCAGTCTGCATCAACTTCTGAATATGATGATGAGTTACATGTTAGTGAGAGCGAACATCGGCCTGCCAAGCGTAACAGATACGGTATGACTGAATCTTAATGATTTCAAATAACGTAGATGACATGTTTATACAAGCAATCTTTTTCGGAATTGTACTTTTTTTTCTGAACACGTGGATACTCGGGTCGTGATCGATCGTTGGCGGTATTCGCTTCTTTTGAGCCTCTTGAGCCTCCCTCACGATCTTCCGGTAAGCCTCCTGCTTTCACTCTTCATATACACGCAGAATTACACTTTGGTTGCCAGCTCACGCATTTCATTTCAACGTGAGTCATTTAGCATTATGTACAGTGTTATCCTCATTCCTTTCGTTCTGAACCCTCTATTAGCCTCTCGAGCATCCCGAGAGCCTCGCTCGCACCCCTCTTGGTTACCTTGCCAGATGGGCCTATTCAAATATCTTGTACGTTTGTTTAATTCCGTGCTAGCATACCATTCTAACTTGTTTAGTCTGCATCAGCTCAAATCAGCCTCATAAATATGAAGGCGCTGTAGGTTTTTTTCTGCCCCTTCTGATTTCCCATCTGATATACTCTTGCGCAAACCGCCCAATAGACGGTCTGCAAAAATTGGCATCTACTGCACATAGTACGAGTAAGTACGCGTGCTGTCATATATTTCTTCCAATATTGACCACACTGTAGACATGACGCAAAACATCCCCGATAACCCATCATCTCCTCACCCGAGTTACATGGGTCTTACTGATACCTTCGAGTACATGCAAGAGCAGTTTGGTGGTGGCCGTCGTAACCCATCACCACCCCGTGAGCTGACTCCTTCGCGACTCAGGAGTAAGCTCAAGGCTACAGAGCGGGATGCCGGCCTTGTCAAAGGTGCATCTACCCGCCGCCAGGCTTATCAACGCCTCGCTGTGGAAGGGCAAGATCCTGCACCTAACTTACCTCATGCGGTGCCGGCTGCTATCTCGACAAGCGAAACATCATCGTCAATGCTCCATGTGGGTAGTAGTCGCCATGCCTCACCCTTTCCTGCCCCACACGCTCCTGAACAGCTCCAGGATGTGTTTTTTGGTTCCATGAACCAGCCACACGCCTGGATGGATCCCAACTCTTCGGATACCTTTAGCATGATGGGGTCCGAATCTTATTTATCTGGAGGATCGCAAAATCACTTCGTCCCCCAGGATATGGACCGCCTAGCACCTCCGCCAAGTTACACTTTTCCTGCGAGTTCATCGGGTTTGACCTCTCGTGGATGCTCGCTAGATCCTCATGCTACAGGCCAAACCCATTCTGGATTGACTGAGGATCTTGCTGGCAAAGTCTCACCATTCGTCCTTCAGCCAGTTCCGTCATCAGTCTCATGATCACCTGCCTGCCCTCCCAACCACCAATGTCATTCCACCGACGCCTTTCAAGGATGGTGATAGCACCACCTCAACAAATACTATGTACTTTGCTGAGCGGTTCCAATTCCCAGATGGACTTAGGAGGCCATCCTTCTACCTCTCGTGCACGCTTTCCCGAGGAACACGAGCCAGTGACCCATGATGAAGGACTTACGG